TTCTAGTGGTTTACCTACAGTTCCGGCCAAAAACTCGCCGTAACAGACCATTTCATTGGCTAATCCCTCACATCATCTAGAACGCGTGTTATATAACAACTCCTCCAGATCTTAGTGTAGTAAAGACAAGTAGAATGAAATTTTGAACTATAAAAAATGAAACGAAATAGGATCTGTGTTTTAATCAAATTGAGATTAAGATAAATAGCTGATTATCCTCGCTATAATAGTTTAAAAATAGATACTCGACACAAACTAGGTCATTTCGAGACTAACATATGGTTCTTAATTTTATTTCATTTATACGCTTGCGCGTAGCTTTAGCATTTGGAGGAAACCGGCGGACCCAGAGAAAAAGCGCGAGGGTGGACAGGCGACTCTACTCCTTGTCACATACAAGGTGTTCAATCACCTATCCGTAAGCACGTGTTGTATTATGGCGCAGTTATTAATACAGACTTCATACGATGTTCGTAATACTATACATTGCGATATTCGAATATATATAAGACCTTAAAGTAATTATTAGCTTAAAGGAACAATAATTATTAAGCCTTACAAATCTTCACATTTCTCAAAAATAATTCTTAATTGGCTGGCTATCAAAAGAACATGTGTTTATAGATACACAAAGACGTTATTGGAGAATATTGCAAGTATAACCGGAACAAAACGGTAAACATTTCTCAAAAGGGTCGGGTTTACCTACATGTTGGCCCTATATAGACCAAACTCACCAGTGTACCCCATGTACACTGGAACAAGGTACTGGCACGGACTACCCGTGGGTCCTAGTCCAATGGCCTACTAGAAGACTTAGAATATTACATAGAATCTTACCTTTATCGATGCCTAATTAGTCATATTTAACGACATTTTTCGAAACAAATTGTCCCGCTCGAAACGTCCCCTAGTTCAGTTAAAGTCAACATGCGGAAAGGGTCAAAGGTTATTGTCTATAATATAAAGATAAAAGATACAGATGTCAAGCATGACTGACAATAGACTTATATACAAACTAAAGGGTCGTTTACACTGAGCGCGAATGGAGTCGTTTATACTAACGACGAACGCGAACGCGGCCGAATTTGCCACCAGAGCGAATTTTTGGAAGCAGTTTGCATTTACGATTTTCATTAGCTAATCAGAGTGCGAAGTCAAAGGGTATACAAAACTTCAATACGCTAGTTTCATTTGCGAATTTCCGCGCATATCCCCGCTTTCAGTGCGAACAATAATTTGCACGGAGCGCATTATAATAATGTAATATGAATGTATAGAAACTGGTTTACATTCAATCGTTTCTGGTTTTACTTTAATTTCAAATCAGTTATGTTCGGCGAAATACGCGAAGAGTCCGAATTGACTGGCAGTCTTTGGCGACTGGTTCTGTGTTATATGTTTAGCCTCATCCATCGAGTCGCTTCATTACAAATGGCGCTCGACAGCATTCTGTCACACGATTCCTGTGCCAATTTTAAAATTTTCATTTTGTCTTATATTGGATATCAGAAGCCCATCCTTTCACGGTAAGATAACAACACGTTGATTTAAATTGACCAATAAGTTGCGTTTGCATTGTCGAAGACCGTGGTGATATTGAGTTAAAGACTTGACACCTTTAACAAACTATCACAGAAATAAAACGGTTTAATTCAAAATCTCGTTCGACTAGTTAGAATGGTGTATACGGGCCTTAGACTCGGGTAGGTATAAGGTATGTAACGACGGTATTTACCTGTGTGAATACCTGAATAAATATATAGGCGAGATAAAATTAATGGAGTTGTCTGATATAAGATGTGTTCGGTATTTGTTCATTCAGAGTTTAAAGTAGCAGTGTTGTTATAAATTTGCATGGAGTTAAAACACACAATATTATAAACAATATTTATTCAGAAACTGACGGGATTGGGGAACATACATATTCCTGAAGCAATGGCCCGAGAAATCCCTCTTTGTGAGATTAGCTCTAATCAAACGAAACACTGCGGGGAGTATGGAGAATTAACATACTGTTACCTGTTTTGTCACAAGTAATAATGACGTGTATAAAATATCAGAAGAACTCTAATCACGTGCTTGGGGTTGTTTGTGGTTTATTATTGTTTATATTTGGAATTACATAATGGGTGCACCAAAATCTATAGGTCTTAATCTTAATCCGGCCCATACTTCACACAGCGATGCATCTACTTCATAACCTCAGGCGGGGCTAACTGTAGACAGACAGCCTAAGTTTGGGATGAATCCGGCCCTGGATAACAATAACTGCTTCCTTTATTTATGTCACTTCCCGATTCTTTAAATCTTTATTATGGATCAACCGCAGCAAAGATATCTATGTTAAAATTATATTTGGAATGTGTTTAATTCTATCACATATGTTCAATTGGCGGACATTAACATTGGCGTTGCTGCATGACCATTATTACACCTCTTTATGATATAATAAGCCTATTTGATTATCAGATTTACAGGCCTGGAAATAACGGTTTTAGATGTACCTCACAAAATGTCAGGCACTAATGAAATAGTACCTGTCATTTTCAACTTAGTGCTGGACATGTATTAATAATATCAATAAAAAGGACAAATCAGCGCCTGACAAAATGACAGGCGCCAGAGGTTTTGTGTCTGACAAAGCCTGAATCTGTGCCAGACATTGTCTGTGACAGGTGCCTTATTTCCAGGCTTGCAGATTTACTTAATTTCTTAGAGAGGTGCACACTACATTTGCCATTAATACAATAAAATCATATCTTTTCCAGTATTTAGTTACATTTAAAAGATGAAACGACTGCCATTTGAATGGGATTGGGAAAATATCAGTTTTACAGCGTGTCAGTTGACCGATGGGTTCCGAGCAATTTGGTCCAATTTTAAGACAAGCAGCCTCTTCTGGTATTTATTCCCGCAATGACCTAGTTTGTGTCCAGTGGACGTTAAAGTTACAATTTCATATTTTCTAAGAAAGTCAAAACATAATTATTTCTATGTCTTTTACTTAAAAGGTTGTCAACTCACTATTATACGATCATAGGTGTCATTCTCACACTTAAAACTCATTTACACCGGAAATAATAACACAATTACCTCCCTTGTTTTCTATTCTCCACCATGAAGTAGTTATCTTCAAACGTTGGAATTTGAAGATGAAAATGATATTTTTGCCAATTTCTCAACTGGCAATTTAGTGAATTATAGGATTATTCTTTAAAAAGGTAGGACTGTTTATAGATACCATCTATTTTAAGGCTTTACTTTAATAAATTTTAAAAATATAACTTAAAAATATGAAATTGCAACTTTAAGCCCCATCTCTCTCTCTCTCTCTCTCTCTCTCTCTCTCTATTCCGGCATATATAGCCATATGGAATCTGTTGTTGGTTAGAATATGAAGGAGGGATGAAGAGGATTCCTTGTTTTCAGGATTTCCATTTATACATAACCTTACCCAAGATGACAGATGACCCTTCTGGACTAAAACCCCATGGATGAATAGATGGTTCAGACCATATCCCTACCCAAGATGACAGGGGACTCTTCTGGACTAAAACCTCATGAATGAATACATGCTTCAGACCACTCAACGATTTAGCTTACTTATATACCTTAAAGTTGCTGATAATCATTTGAGGGATTTTATGTCCAAAAATGATTTATATATATATCATATGGAATAGAAACCACACCAGTTGACTCAATGACAGATGTTATGATACACCGCCCACCAACTAACCACCCCCCCACCCCTGTCTTGAATGTTGGAATGTTTTGAAATGTGTAAATAGACCTCAATATTTTAAAAGACAGCATGATTTCAGGGATTAAATACAAATTCTTTTTTTTTATTGAATCCGGATTTAATAACAAATATATATACAAAATAATTCCTATACAAATTCATTAACAAAACACAGACTTGTAAATACGCCACTTGTAGTCTATTTTCGTTACAATCAATTATAAATATTTGAGGCTATCTATAGCAGTAAGTAACTCATATATTGATTAAAGACTCTGAATATCATCATTTCATATATTTTGAATCCTTGCAAACACAAAAGGGCCAATCTCAATTATATTCTGGAGAAATTAATTTTGTGTTAAAAGTCCTTAAAATCCTCTATCTTAGGGCCAAGCAACTAACTCAATATATGTAATACGTGTCCTAAGCTGTATTATGCAGTGTCTGGATAAAACCACACTTTTATTTTATAAAAATAATGTGTGGTTGAAATTTACCTTTCGTTATCAGGTACAGCAAAAAAATGAAATGAAATGGGATTTAACGCCCTACTGTTCTGCTGCGACTGGGCTAATGAAGATGGGCCTGTGCCATACAGTGTGCTATGAGGGAAATTTTGTGCCTACTGTTCTGCTGCGACTGGGCTAATGAAGATGGGCCTGTGCCATACAGTGTGCTATGAGGGAAATTTTGTGCGGGCAAAGGCACTATGACCTACTCTTATATCGAATTCCAACTGCCAAGGGATCTTTTACGTGCACGCCACAGCAATGTATACAAAAGTTTTTCGTATCATCCATTCTGAATACAAATGGATGTCTAGCATGTTGTCCCAAACTTGCACAAGAGATAATATTGAACAGAATTCTAGTAAAACGTGGCCATTTAAATCCATGTCTTAGGTCAACACATGACCTTACTAACTCATTTCTAGTCATTGTTCATTTTTCATTGTTCTGCTTTTTTCTTCTTCGGTTTCTTTTTCTTTCCTTCTCCTGTTTTTAAAGAATGTTTTAATTTTTTCCCTTTTTTATTCTTTTTGTTGGATTTTTTATTTGTTTTTTTGTCAGCTGTTTTTAAAGTTTGTTTGTCCTCATCCTCGCTATCATCACCTTCGGCCTGCTTTCGTTTCTCTAAGGCTTTTTCTTTCTGTAATCTTTTAGCTTTTTCATATTTATAAACTTTTTGCATCTGTTTTACAGCACTGAAAAATATGAATTATTTATTTTTAAATTAAAGTCTGTGAAATTCAAGTTTCGGTGCCGGTATTGATACCTTTAAAGATACATTATGGGAGATTAGATAAATAGTTATAAACAAGATAATGTAAAGGTAATTTGCTGAAAATTTCAGTCAAATTGATCCACTCAATTTGAATTTTCGACCTAGCCTTGATCATCATTACTAAAGTCATTAAAATAAAAACATAGTCTCGATTATCCATATAATGATTAAATTATGAATGGAAATCGAACAGGAAATCGGAACCTTATCCAATAAACATTGGAGGCTAGTGATGCCATCGAGAGTTGATTATGGTCTGGATCAGTTAATTAATGTCTAATTAATAATTTAGATAACATTTCAGGCCTAATAAAAGACCTGCAATAAGCAGATTTAGCTGTTGCATAAGGCATGTTTAATACATCTCGGACATAATATTCAAATTACATACAATATTCAAATTACATACGGTCTATGATCGCTACAACAAAACCTGATTCTTAGTTATTATATTGTATTTCATTATTAAATGAACAAAATAAAATGGGGTTTAACATCCTACTTTTCTGCACCAACTGGGCTAAGGAAGACATCATACAGTGAGTGTGCTACAAGGGAAATTTTTCATGGACACTAATTGAATAAAAAACTGTCAAGGGTTCCTTTACGTAAATGGCGAAGGAGTAATTCACAGTCCTATTAAAGAAACTCCAGTGAGGAAGAATCCTATTTGTCTACTTACTTTTCTCTTTCTTTACCCTGTAGTTTAAATAATGGTACTGTAGATATTCTCTGTCTTGGTATTTCACTTACAGCCATTTTCTTCTGGACTTCCCTGATAACAAAATAAAAACATATTATAATATGATGGTAAAGGATAATGATTAGGGTTAACATACATTAGCAGGTTATTTGGGAGGAGAATTTTGCCAGGGCAGCAGTGGTTCTACCTACTCTTCATCACATTCCAACTTTAAAAGAGGGGTGTGGGGGGTCTTAATGGGGAATGTGTGCGCGTTGGATCATAAGGTCTGTCATTGAGTCAACTGCCGTGCTTTCGATTACCTGATTGCATGTGACATGGAGTAGGGTAGCTTCTCCATCCTTGTGGGTTTTCTTTTGGTCCTCCAGTTTCCTCCCACTGCTAAAGACCCCTAAGAGCAAGCGAATTATTGAAATAAAATTGAACCATATATTAGTCCCAAAATGACCTTGTTTGTGTCAAGTGGATGTTAGAGTGGATGAAACTTAGAGGACTGTCATACTTTTTGACTAATCAGAATCCATTCTTGGCTATTTTATTTTTTTTAAATAAATCAATATATAGTTTCAGTGACTTACTTCCTTGTTTTCTTCATACTCAGCATATATTTAGGTACCGGACATCCTGCTTTACGGATAACATTAGCTATACTAGAAAATAAATTATACATATATATTGGACATCCTGCTTTACGGATAACATTAGCTATACTACAAAATAAATCATACATATATATTGGACATCCTGCTTTACGGATAACATTAGCTATACTACAAAATAAATTATACATATATATTGGACATCCTGCTTTACGGATAACATTAGCTATACTACAAAATAAATTATACATATATATTGGACATCCTGCTTTACGGATAACATTAGCTATACTACAAAATAAATTATACATATATATTGGACATCCTGCTTTACGGATAACATTAGCTATACTACAAAATAAATTATACATATATTTAGGTACCAGACCGGGCTTTCACTTCAAAATTGTCATTGTCGGTCATTTTTGACATCATGCGAAAACTTTGCAAAATAAATTCGTACAATTTTATAGTTACATAGTGGATGTCGATCGTAGCCATGTTTAAATATTGGGCTTTTAAAAAAGGCTATTTTTCCAGCGTGCAAAATGACCGATGGGTTAGATCTAGTTACGGTCAATTTCCATAGCCCTAGGTCTTGATCGGCATATATGGCTGACTTGGAACCCATGTACCAGACATAATTTACAAATTTACTGATTTTCAGAAGATCCTTTGATAATTTGACTGACTTGTCTCCCTTGAATGAATGTGGTAGAAGTGTACATATTTACTAGATCTATCAAAAAGCAGGTCCAAGAAACAATAGGATTGGATATGTGTTGATGACAATCACAACACATGACTCTAGGTGACATTGCTGTATGCTCAGTCAATAGAGGCACACCACCAAATACTTCCCTGTCAGGGTACCCACAAATGTAGTTGCTTCTTATTATAGTTTTCTCCTCTCGCTCCCTTTTCTTCCCCTTTATATGGGTATTTTCATTGACTTTTGGTCAAGAATCGAGGGTTTGCAACCTGCCTCAAAGGTAGAATGTGTGCAGCTGTCTGAGATTACTTGCGAAGGGTCAAAAAGTACTCATGTGGTCAAGGTTGTTCCAACAGCTTTTCGTGGTTCTAGTCGCAGATAGCTCAGATAAAACTAGTTTTTACTGGTTTTCGTAATGGTGAGATAATCCCATTCGAGGCCCATGCATGGATTTGAAACCAAGCCATTCTAGAGCCCAGTTTCCTAACGAAATCATATATTCTAAAAAATGATGGCCGTACCTACCTTTTTAAATTGGTGGCATCATCTTCAGTAAAAAATGTTATAGCTTCACCCTCTCTTCCAGCTCGACCCGTTCGACCTAATAATTATTAGATTAAAACTTATTACAGTTTAACAGAACACAAATTTTACTGGAATCAATAACTGGTTCAGTTCTATGGATAACAATCACTATATTATATACACACGATATTTCGGCACGAATTCACTGGTCGTTATCAAGCATACAAATATACAAATGAGGAAAAAATTGTGACGGTGTTATATATAGGTACATTGAACAATAATAACAGAAACCATAAATTAACAAAAGAACCAATTAAGCTAGGGTTTTTAAACCCTAGCTTAAGAAGAAAACCTCCCAATCAAAGACATTCACCTAATGAACATCTACATTTACTCAGGGTTATTGTGCTCCAAAACGGGACAGATGAATGAACCTTTGAAATGTCACTGATAACAACCACCTAGATCTATTTAAAGAGACATTTTAATGTTGATTCTATCGACTTTGACAATACGGATTGCGTCACAATATAAACATACTTACCGATTCTGTGGATATAACTAACAGCACTGTTGGGAAAATCGTAGTTGATGACAAGATTAACTCCCTTGAAATCTATACCTCGTCCCATTAATTCTGTACAAATTAATACCCAGATTTTACCAGCTCGGAAACTAGCTACTACATTATCTCTCTAGAAGGAAAAACAAACCAAAACATAAAACTAGCCATTATATTATCTCTTTAGAAGGAAAACAAAATCTCTCTATATATTTTTGACTACGTTTGTCTGCAGTAAGGTGTTGGCGCCTACAATAGGGTTTCCCTGAGGCTGAACTTTCGGGTATAAAGCCAACTTTAGCTGAGGTGTGCCATAGACCTGGTGGCGTTGCACTATCATGCCCTGTTTCAGAGTTTTGCAACATCCGGTTGAATGAAAGAGACTCTTGTGTCGGAGGGCTCTACCTGAGAAATGAAATGGGGCTTACCGTCCTACTGTTCTGCTCCGAACTGAGCTAATGAAGATGGGCATACACCATACAGTGTGCTATGAGGGAAATTTTACCAGGACATATCTGCATATCTAAACACATATTGGCTGCGTTTAATTATGTCGTAATTGTATTAACACTACTAAAGTTATTGGAAGTGATAGAACTGTGACACAACTGAATTGTATCTACCCGTAACTGAGTTATATTTACCTATAACTGAGTTATCTCTACTGATACCATCGTAAAATAACTCACCTGTAATTGAGTTCTCTCTGAATGAATAACATCAACACTGATACCATCATAAATTAACTCGGAAAATAAATCTTTAGCTCGATCTTTAGATTGTACAAATATTAATACAGGTGGTTGTATTCCCTGTAATATAAAACATGCATTAATACAGGTGGTTGTATGCCCTATAATATAAAACATGTGGTTAATTAATATCTTGATTGTAGTTTTATTGTATCTTAAAGCCACTGGTCATCATTTGAGTGATGAAAGTTAAAGGAGCTAAATCACTAATATTTGGGACCTAGAAATTGACACAAATGGGTCACAATGCATATAATAATGTAATATGAATGTATATAAACTAATTTACATTCAATCATTTCTGTTTTTACTGTAATTTCAAATCAATTATGTTCAGCGAAATACGCTAAGAGTCTGAATTAAATGGCAATCTTTGGCATCGGGTTATTCCTGTCTGCACTGGTAGTATTCTCCTACATAGCATATGTTTAGCCTCGTTTGTAGAGTCGCTTCATACAAATGGGGCACGAAAGCATTCTGGCGCATGATTCATGTGCAAGTTTAAAATTTTTATTTTGTATTAAATATTAGATATCAAATGCAAAACTTCACACAGTAAGATAACAACATCAATGTTGATTTAAATTGACCAATAAGTCGTGCTTGCAATGTCGAAGACTGTCGATGATATTGATTTAAAGACTTGGCTCTTTTAAATAATGATGTTACAACTACAGGATAAATAATGTTTAATACGTAAGAAATTTGTTTTACCTTTTTAATCATATTTCTAACTGCTAATAGTTTACCATTCTCCGATCCTACAAACAACAATTCTTGTTTGACAGTTTTAGCTGCTGCATTTCTAAAATATAAAATACACTTCAACCATTTAAACACATATTTACAAATATACAAATTGATCCACTCTGAACCCAGATTTTAGCGATTGAATTTTCGGCCTAGTCTCGATCATCATTACTAAAGTCGGTATGATAAAAAACATAGTCTCAGTTATCTATTTCAGATTAAATAAGAATGAAAATTAGAACCTAATCCAATAAATATCGTAGGCTAGCGATGACATGAAGAGTTGATTATGGTCTGGATAGGTTAATAAATGTCTAATTAATAATTTAGATAAAATTTCAGGCCTAAAGAAAAATCTGCAATAGGCAGATTTAGCTCTTGCATAATGTATGTTTAAATAAACAAAATAAATATACATAAATATGCAAATCAGCTATACCACGCTTTATTTATTGCCATCAAATATGCCAATTTAATATCACAAATGCTACTGATTGAGTTTGAAAAGTGTCAGAAATAAGTGGCATAATAACTCTGAGAGTAACGTCAAATTGACTGACGTCACTACTGTGGGCAACGTGATGCTGACTCTATGTAATAGTAAATGCAGGACCGCACCAAACATAAATATTATATAAAACAAACCCTGCGGACAAGATACACAGACAATTCAAACAAGAAAAGTATATATCAAATCAAGTGAATGGATCCTGGATCGGCAGTAAGCGTCCAGCTGTATACTTACATGTCACCAATATAAACTTGTATAACATTATCTAGATTAGTTGACTTTATTCTTACATATCACCTATATAAACTTGTATTACATTATCTAGATTAGCTGACTTTATACTTACATGTCACCTATATAGACTTGTATTACATTATCTAGATTAGCTTTACACCATTCTTCAACATCATAGGAGAATGTGGCACTAAACATAGCTCGACGAACATTATTAGCATCACATGCTTTATAGATTACAGCTAACTGGAAATATATAATATACTCTCTCAGTTCTATATATAAAAATATATAATATATTCTATTAGTTCTATATACAAAAATACTTTCTATTAGTTCTATATACAAAAATATATAATATTCTCTCTTAGTTCTACCGGTATATACAAAACTATATAACATTCTCTTTTAGTTTTATACACAAAATATATAACATTCTCTCTTAGTTCTACCAGTTATACAAAATATATAACATTCTCTCTTAGTTTTATACAAAACTATATAACATTCTCTCTTAGTTCTATATACAAAATATATAACATTCTCTCTTAGTTCTAACAGTTATACAAAATATATAACATTCTCTCTTAGTTTTATACAAAACTATATAACATTCTCTCTTAGTTCTATATACAAAATATATAACATTCTCTCTTAGTTCTACCAGTTATACAAAATATATAACATTCTCTATTAGTTTTATACAAAACTATATAACATTCTCTCTTAGTTCTATATACAAAATATATAACATTCTCTCTACTCTATTATTTCTATAGACAAAAATATATCAATTCTATGTATGACATCTATGCTAATATATGTGACTGTCGTTTGTCTGTCTGTCTGTTCGGAGTTGGCGGCTACACTAGGTCTGCCCCGAGTCTGAAATTTGGGGTATAGGGGTAGCTCGGACCGGGGAGTAACATAGGCCAGGTGGCGTTAGTCTACCACTTCCGGTTTCGGGGTTATGCCTGAATTCTTAAGTTAGTTACAAAACCAACATTTTAATTGATTTTTTGTGTATTTATTGTAATGGAATTAGGCATCATTTTACAGTATCAAATTAAGCCAACATTTTAATATTGTTTTGTTTATTTTATTGTGATGGAATTTGGCACTACTTTACAGTATCAAATTAAGCTTAGAATAGCCCATAACCATCTAGAACCATCAACAGTTCTGTCAAAATCCTGACGTAATGGTGATCAGTCGAGATCGTATTGTGTTCTGTCACTACATGCCGCATCAACCTAAATTATCGTCCCTACTCGACTGACACCAGTTGAGTATCCCCCTATGTCGTTATAGTTTATGATAATTTAAAGAATTTTTACCTGATCTCTGAATCCTGATTTACCATCTTCAAATAATTTATCTGATTCATCTACAACCAGCCATTCCACACTAAAATAAAGTGAGAGAGAAATTGGGTTTAACGATCAGTCGACACAAACTATTTGGCCCACCCCACCCCACCCCATCCATCCTAAAATACAATGAGAAAAATAAAACTAATTTAAATCACAAAATTAGATTCTAACATGTCAACTATTTTTTCTGTTCGTTGCCCTGTACAATTGAAATTGATTTTTAACGATTCTAACCCTAACCCCATTAAAATATCCCGTCAACACATTACTTTGATCATTTTAAGACGAAGGTATGGTATATATTATTTCTATGGCTACTTGTGTTATGCGTGGTAGACATTTTGCTTGGAAAGTGCAGTTTCAACCCACTCTTCTTCAATTTTCAAATGACTTACCTAGACAGACTCATGGATGGTGGGTTAGTCTATAACGTATAGAATAGACTTACCTAGATAGATTTATAGATGGTGGATTAGATTGTAACATACAGACTAATCTATTTGGTGTTGTTACCAATATATCTACAAATAAATACAGTTAACATATACAATCAATGTAATGGGTTTTAAAGTCCTATTAAATATATATACAGAGAAAGAGAAATGGGGCTTAACGTCCACTCGAGACAAATTAGGTCATTTTTGGACTAACATATGGTTCAATTTTATTCCAATAATTCGCTTGCGCATACGGGTCTTTAGCAGTGGGAGGAGAGCAGAGGGCCCAGAGAAAACCCACAAGATTGGATATGCGATCCTACTACTTGTCACGTATAACCAGGGAATTGAAACCACATTAGTTGACTCAATGACAGACCTTATGATACAACGCTAACCATTCGGCCATCCAACCCCCCCCCCTGTTCTTTATTAAAGTAAATGAAAAGAAAGAAAAATCAACATTATATCATTACCAAAGTTTTTCTTTGATTTTGGTCCAAATTTCTTAGCTGCTAGAGCCACTTTACTGATGAAATGAACTCTGAACCCCATTCCTTCAGATAACCGGTCAAATTCTCGAAATGTCTGGAAAATCAAATGATTTTATTTATACATGTCTTTTTTTCAATAAATATTTGTTTCAAAATTCTTCAGACCAAACTAAGTTGACAAACATTTTTTCTAAGATCTATCTAAGATTTTTTAGATTTAGATTTCAAAATTTAGAAAATATATATTTAATTCTGTGCAGAAGCTATTCACAACATGATTTCAAATAACACTGAATTTCAATAAATTATGTTTGATGTAAATGAAAAGATGCGTGTTAAATTCTAAAACAGTGACTACAAAACTTATAATACCTGTTTTGCTAATTCCCTAGTTGGGGCTAATACAAGAGCTCGGAAACCTAGATTTTTAGGTCCTTGTAAATGATGCAGAACTGGAATAATAAAAGATGCTGTTTTACCAGAACCTGTAGGGGCACATGCCATTATTTCTCTTTGCTGAAAAAGGAAAGAAACGGATATAATAATTTTGTAGTTTTTAGAATATGATTATACGATGATCTGAAACACAACATTAGTATATATGAGGGAAGGGAGTTAACTCTTGCAATTGGCTGGACATTGGGGTATATATTCTTCAATAAAATGGTTAAACGATGATATAAAATTCAAAAACAGCAAATATTTGGGAAGGGAGATGGAAATGAAATTGTGTTTAACATCCTACTGAGAGTAATTCTGCCCTTACTAGTCGCCGAATTCCAAATGCCAGGTTTTTTTTTTAAAGCGCACACCAACATGTTTACAGGACATGAAATCGTGTTTAACATACTACTTTACTGGACCGATGGGGCTACTGAGAGTATAAGTATATTTGCCCTGACAGTATTGTTTCCGCTTACTAGTTGCTAAATTCCAAATGCCACGTTTTTTTTATGCGCATGCCATCATATTCACAGGACTTTGTTTTTTCCCATATCTGAACAAATAGATGCTGTTCCCTGCTGGAAAACCTTAAGGAACTTTTTCGGCTAACACCGGGACCGAACACAGGACCCAAAGGTTATTGAACCAGCGTCTTCCTCACAAACCAATCTGATTAAATACAGATCTATATTTCGTTTCGTCTTTTTATACTTTAGATGGTGTACATTACATGAGGATCTGACCGGCTTTACTGGAAGGTCGCATCAAGGGTCGTACGAACAGCTTTTGATCCTATTATGTCAGACATTGATTAATCAATCAACGTAGTAGTTTCTAGTGGTTTATCTACAGTTTCGTGTATCAAACGTCAAGAACTCGCTGTAACAGATCTTTTCATTGAACGCCGGTAATATAACAACTCCTAGAGTTGTACAGACAAATAAAACAAAATTTTGAACTATAAAAAATGAAACGAAATAGGATCTGTGTTTTAATCAGACTCATAAAGATATCGTGAAACAATTTCTAAAATTATTGCAGTATTTCTTACCTGCATCATAACTGGTATAGCCTGTATCTGTATAGGTGTAGGTTGACTGTAACCAACTGTTTTAATATTCTCTAATAACAAACGATGTAGACCATACGTCTCACCCAGCTGTTTAAAATCTTCAAATGGTGGAGGGATATCGGTTCCATGTACATGTATTTTGTGTAATTTTCTTAAATTTTTTTTCTATTAATAAAAAAAGAAAACATAAACAGTGAAATGATATCTATAAATGACATTTAAAAATATATATATATAGAGAGAGAGAGAGAAATGAGGTTTAACGTCCACTCGACACAAACTAGGTCATTTCAAGACTAACATATGGTTCAATTTTATTTCAATCAATTGCTTACGCGTAGGGGTCTTTAGCAGTGGGAGGAAACTGGAGGAGCCAGAGAAAACACACGAGGTAAACAGACGACCCTACTCCTTGTCACTTTTCAAGTGGTGAATCGAAACCATGCCACTTGACTCAATGACAGACTGGATGATGCAACGCGCATTATAAAGGTATAATGACTGCTGGATACCTGTAAAAGTATAGAAACTTTGAGTTTAACGAACTAAGAAGCAGTAAATCCAAAAAGCTATATTTCAAAGTTCAAATAACTAACTGTGTGCCCAGCATTGCATGGATAGAGCCCTCTGATGCTTCCTTATAGCAGTTTCGTGAAACCGGAAGAAGCATACCTCCAAAACCAAGACAGGTAATTGAATCCCACAAGGCATATGTCACTCCACAGTCTTGAGCTGTCCATATACCTCAAATTTTGTCTTCAAACAGTTCAGTAAGGTCTGACTAAAATCAGTATTCCTGGACAGTGGGCCTAAATATGGGGATTGTACAACTGAACTCAGCAACTTACGTGATGCTGTTCTTGGTTTGTCTTCTGAACCTTTGATTTATTTTCTGTTTCTGAGTCTGATTCATCATCTAAAAAGGATAAAAAAAACAACATCATAATACACTTAGATTTTGTTGAAAGACTGGAGTTTTAGTAAAACATATTTGTTTGGACAAAAGGTACTGGAAATAAGCCACACTGGACCTTAGTATTTCATACCACCCAAACAACTAGACACATTTCCTTGTCCAGCCCCTGTCCTGCAACACTAACACGAGAAAACCCAATCTATATTTCATTTTGCTTTTTTATACTTTCGATGGCCTACACTACATGAAGATCTGACAAGTTGTACTGGAAAGTCGTGTCAGGGGTCGTACAAGAGGGTTTTGACCCTATGATGTCAGACATTGATTAATCAATCAGTGTTGATGTTTCTAGCGGTTTACAGACAGTTTCATTGGCTAGTCCCTCACTTCAACCAAAACGCCTGTAATATAAAATCACTTCCAGATCCTAGTGTAGTTAAGACAATTTAAACGAAATTTTGAACTATAAAAAATGAAACAAAATAGGATCTGTGTTTTAATCAGTTTGGGGAAAACCATGCTTGAATACTATGATGAACTTTTTCAGCCAACCCCAGGATCGAACCTGTGACCTTCTGGTTAGTAAGGCAGCTCCACCGTGTGTTCCTGAAGCAACGACTGCCAGTTTTACAACATCTTGACGTTGCTAAATTACTTTACAATTCCCAAACTTATCGCACCTTATCTGCAGACACTTGAACAGTAGCGCTCAATCAGAGCTTGTGACATAGCAACATCCACGGAAACCTTGACATTGAACGAACCTTGAACTTTGCAACTCGACTATCACAGGTAGAAATTTTAGCTGGAAAGCGTGAGACTTGGTATTCGCGATGATCGAGGAATGTGATAGGCTCACAAGCTGGGTGAATACCCAATTGATTTATTTGTGACAAAATATGCAGGGTATTACATTACGTGAAGTTGGCTCCACCATGGTTCCGGAATTATTCTGAAGTACTGTATACCAGGTAGGTTGTATTTTTGAACAGATGTTCATTGAAATTACCTTCTGAATCTACATCTTCTATTTTTCTCTTCTTCGTTTCTTCATCTTTAACTTTAACTTGATTCTCTTCAATTGGATCAACACCAAGCTTGTAAAGAAAATAAAAACATTTAAAAAAAAAAAAATATTAATAGGAATTTGTTATGATATGGCGTCACCGTTTGACAGTAGTTGTAGAATATGTCTAGCCTCGTTCTTTCTGGCCACTTGTTACAAATGACGCTGAAACGCACTACGGTACACGATTCGTGTACCAATGGTAAAACGTTTATTTTGTCTTAAATACTGGATATCAGACGCCTACCTTTTCCCGTTAAGATCACAACATCAATGTGGATTTGAATTGACAAATAATTTGTGTTTTCAACGTGTAAGACTTTGGATGATATTGAATTAAGTAAGAGACTTAGCTACTATAATAGTCAATAAATCTTGGCCGCGAAAAAAAGAAAAAAAACAAATTGTCATTTTTGATCAGTAGTTTTCCAATGAAAATCAGTTGTTGTTTTTTTGTAAAATTAAAAATATATTGTCATTTTTGATCAGTAGTTTTCCAATGAAAATCAGTTGTTTTTTTTTTGTAAAATTTAAATTTTTTGGACATTTAGATCTAATAATGGTCCATGACTCCCATTCATTTCAATATCCTATTCCTAAATAAAAGGGAGTCAGGTCAACCAAAACTTGATTATGTAACCTTCATAAAGCTGTGTATACCTTTAATTTTGTTGCATCTTGTTTAAATCTCTTAAAATCAAACTTTGCTCCTGCTCCAAGTAATCTGAACAGATGATGGCCATCCATGCTTGTTTATACCGGAAGTGAAATACACGTGGACTTGATTACCTCCCTTGGATCATTCTGTCAAGATGGATAAACAAACTGAGGTGAGGTGACAACGTGGAATTTTTTCTACATTACATCATTTTAAATATCTCTAAAATTGTTTTTTGTCGGCTCAGTATTTAAGAATACACCGATTAATTTTTTCTCTCATAATAATCAGTATTTATAACAGGTATGGTTTGTATTACAAAAGGCTACTATTTTCATTCTGATTCTGATTAACTTTAAACTCATTTCACTGGCAGGTAATAATAGTTCTAATACTAGTCCAGTGATCCGATTAACAAAAGTTGATATATCACATTCGACGTGTCAACTGTTCAGAAGCTCTTAATAGTGGCCAAATTTGATTCACGTCATGCGACAGAATCAATATCATTAGCCATTCAAAATTTATTACCATTATTAGAAGTCACATAATAATTTCCTCAATTAGAATTCTGGAGCTGGTTGTGAAAAGACAGATGAGGCCCAGAGGTTAACCCAACTACCAGGCCTAATGTTAGCAGGGGTGTCTTTTAGGGCAGTCGTCTGGAGCCTCGGTTGATGAGATCGAGGCGTTGGGTTACTAACCTGGAAGGCCGATGTTCGATCGATCACTGCTTGTTGGGAAAGTTCCATGGGGTTTTCCAGCGTTGTTTCCCCTTGTCAGTGGTGAAGGACAGACGGTCTGGCAAGGACCGGGTCTAGTCTTTCAGATGTGATGAAACACTGAGGTCTTGACAGTTGGAGTTTGATAGTGCCCCTGTCGGGGCAAAATTGCCCCCATAACGCACACCCAGTGCCTCACAGTATAGGACGTTAAACCCCGCTCAATTTCAGACTGGTCAATGACTGTCGGCCGACCTCTTTTCTTCAACTGGTGGATCACAATCAGCCTTTTCAAACCTGATTTGTACTAAAACTGTAGCCCCCCTCACCCTCCATTTTAATCTGTCGCTGTAAGAATTCTAATCTATATAATGTCTGACCCCCCCCCCCCCATTTTTTTTCTAGGGGTATTTTGATGGCTAAGGGAAGGTCAGAACAAGTTTCTGAATCTTTGAAGGCTCTGAGGTTTTTAAGAGATTTTGCTCAGGTTACCTCCCTGAAACACCTTAGAAGTTAGAGTATATATTGATCAAAATCTTAATTATCTTTCAAAATATGTATCTCAAATTCTTCTTAAGTTGATATTTTAAAAGTTAAAGTCAAAACAATATTGATCTAGGCAGGCCTGGAAATAATGGTTTTAAATGTACCTGACAAAATGTCAGGCACTAATGAAATAGTACCTGTCATTTTCAACTTAGTGCCGGACATATATTAATAATATCAATAAAAAAGACAAATCAGTGTCAGACAAAATAACAGGCACCAGAGGTTTTGTGCCCGACAAAGCCTGAATCTGTGCCAGACATTGTCTGTGACAGGTGCCTTATTTCCAGGCTTGGATGTAAGGTGAAAAATTTAGAACCTTTATTACATGGTATAAAGCTAGGTCTTTTGTGTTTCACACAATTTTGGAGAAGTAAGTCGTAGAAAGATAAATGATTTATCATTTGTATAATGTGTGATGTGTGATTTAAACTATGTTTGAGATGGAAGGTATTTTAAAATTGTCATCAACCTCCAATCAGATTAAAATGGTGATCTGAAATCTGTACCTGAGGTAACCCAGGTGTTTACTGACTGTGTGTACTATATGACTGGAAATGTCACTAAGGTTTTGATATCAAGAGAAAGTAACATTCTTTATCTGATCACTTAAGTTATAAAATTATCAAGTATTTAATCTGTTAAGTTATAAAATTATCAAGTATTTAATCTATCTGATCTGTTAAGTTATAAAAATATCGAGTATTTAATCTCTTTGGTCTATTCTGTTATAATTTTTTCAAGTATTTAATTACTATGTACTATGTATGTGTGGATAATTTTTTCAAGTATTTAAACGCTCTATGTGTGGATAATTTTCAAGTTTTTAATTTAACCACTGTGTGCATGTGTTATAAATGTTTACAAGTATTCAAATCACTGTGGATTTGATCTTGCACGTATTTAGTCAGAATGTATATTGACTGTATTCGTTAGGAGAAGAGATATTACACAACATACTATTTTAGCTTGATGTTATCATGTTTGACATGCTTCACAGTCTAGTTAACAAGCTGATTTACTTCTATGTTGCATTAAAGAGGAAATCTCAGGTATATTTCATTGTTGAGTGAATACAACTGATTAATCCTGTGTGGAAGGCAGGGTCGTGTGCTTTGTTCTTTATCATCATATGGTGGGATAGGATGGTCATTCAAAGCGCGAGATAATGATTTAGACATATTTGATATCACAATTAATACTTTGCATCAATGACATTGAATCACAATGCGATCCTATTAATTCATTGACGTCAAATGGGGTGTTGGGTTTCTCTCTTATTTGATAAGATGATGTTATCATGCATTGTCAACTGTCTAATTTCCTTAACAGGAACCTGGCAAGCCCCCTGTATCTGCCCCTGAAAGGCTGTTTGAAAGCTTGATTCTAATTACTGACTGTTTTAGCCTCTGTAATAGATTTTCAAACAAATACCCAACAATCATTTGTCCGATGGAGTTGTTGTCAATCTTCTAAACTAGGTCGAATGGTTAATTCGTGGGTGTTGAGTCATAAGTTCTGTCATTGAGTCAACTGGCGTTGTATCGATTCCCCACTTGTATATGACGCAAAGTAGGGTCGCCTGTCCAACCTCGTTGGGGTTTTCTGGATCCTCCCTACGCACAAGTGAATTATTGAAATAAAATTGAACCATGTGTTAGTCCCAAAATATCCTAGTTGTAAAACAACAACCTTTGCCTACCACAATCAGTTGCTGTATGTTAAACATTTAGCTTATACATCAGAAAATAAAATACTGCAATAGTTTCTACAAAGTTTCAAAAATTTTTCTTGAAAATGAATAACATGTTGATGTATGTATAAGTGTTATAAAGGTATCTTGAACAGTTTCTGAGATATGCTCTAGAATAATAATTATATACCAAAAACTAATTCTAATGTTTAGTAAAAATTCAAAAATCATTTAACAGAGAATTTTGCTTCCGTGGAAACACAAAAATGATTAAATCCTAGAAATTCAAATTAGCAAAAGGCACATGTACTATGATAGGTTAATGTTTGTACAAAGTTTCCGGAAACAAAACTATACACCAAAAACTAAATCAAATTTGTTTCCATGGAAACACAAAAAGTATAAATCCCAGAAATTTACAAAAAGCAAAAGGCACAACTACTGTAATAGGTTGATATTGGTACAAAGTTTAAGAGAGATATCTTGAACGGTTTCTGAGATATGCTCCGGAAATGAAATCGGGACGGGCTGACCCCATTTCAATTTCCCTCCCTAACTTCGTTCGGCGCGGGATGAAAATGTTAACTTTATGGGTGAGGTGGGAAGGATGATCTAATTATTCTCCCAGCAACATACCTTTAAAGGTTGTTGACTAATAAAACACCCTTATAAATTACTTTCCAAAGACGTAAAAAAGTCTATGTCTCTTTTTATTTAATTTATTACTAACGTAACTTGAGAGGACGAAACCCATTTCAATATCCCTCCCTAACTTCATTTGGCGCGGGATAGAAATTTTAACTTTGAGGGTGAGGTGGGAAGGATGACCTAATTATTCTCCCAGCAACATACCTTTAAAGGTTGTTGACTAATAAAACACCCTTACAAATTACTTTCCAAAGACGTAAAAAAGTCTATGTCTCTTTTTATTTAATTTATTACTAACGTAACTTGAGAGGACGGAACCCGTTTCAATATCCCTCCCTAACTTCATTTGGCGCGGGATAGAAATTTTAACTTTGAGGGTGAGGTGGGAAGGATGACCTAATTATTCTCCCAGCAACATACCTTTAAAGGTTGTTGACTGATAAAACACCTGTATAAATTGTTTTCCATTGACGTAAGAAAGTCTATGTCTTTTTTTATTTAATTTATTACTAATGTAACTTGAGAGGAAACAAACAGATAGGCTTATATAAATAACTCATAGCAAGAGCGGATTCAGACATTTTAAAACGGTGGAGGGCTGTTGGTTGATCTGACTACTTTTTTCATTCATCTTTTGATTTCTGTTTTTCTTCTCTTTTATCCTTTCTCTTTCAACCCCTTTCAAATCTAAACCCTCATTTACTTTTTTACCCCCCAAAAAACTGGGTTAGGGTTAGTGCCCATTAACTTAGTTTATTCAAAGAGATTTTCCATTTCTGATATCATCTTTGTGAAAAAATGGCCACCTAAAAAAGTAGTCAGATCAGCCAACAATGCCAAAATGGTTGATAGGAATGGAGTTTACCTTCTCTATTTTATTTGGATGTTTTTGAGACTAATATATTTTTTTAATTTACTATGGTCCTGTGTTGATTGATGGGGAGGTTATCCCAGACAGCAGCGTTTTTGCTTACTTTTCTTTTAATTCCAACTGTCAAGGTTTCTTGCTTGTACACCAGAAATTGAAGTACAAGTAGAGTGATGAATCCCCCAATCTAAATTTGTCTGAATATAAACAATAGGATAGCGGCCATCCACTCCACACAGTTACATGTCAATGACTAGGATATAAACTGTACAGATATGTTACAAGTCAATGACTAGGATATAATTGACAGGCATGTTACAAGTCAATGTCTGGTGTATATAAACTGTACAGGCATGTTACAAGTCAATGACTGGTTTATAAACTGTACAGGCATGTTACAAGTCAGTGACTAGGATATAAACTGTACAGGCATGTTACAAGTCAATGACTGGTTTATAAACTGTACAGACATGTTACAAGTCAGTGACTAGGATATAAACTGTACAGACATGTTAACTACAAGTCGAAAACTAGTATATAAACTGTATAGATATGTTACAAGTCAATGACTGATATATAAACTGTACAGAGATGTTACAAGTCAATGACTGGTATATAAACTGTACAGAGATGTTACAAGTCAATGACTGGTATATAAACTGTACAGAGATGTTACATGTCAATGGCTAGGATATAAACTGTACAGGCATGTTACACGTTATTATAAAGTATATTAACTGTATACTTGGTTTGATTGTTGCAAGCCAGCTCCCCCAACCCCCAACCTTCTGTGGATCTGCCCCTACTATCTTGTTTGACTTTATTTATAATTCACACTGATCTAATTTCTTTCTTGTTTTTTTTTATTAGAACGGAATGGAGGACACACCATTGTTTGACCCCAAGATTTTAGATTTGATCGATTTTAGTAAATGTAACGGAGAATATAAACCAAAAATATCCAATAGAAATCCAGGAGACAATTTACATCTTCGGCCATTATCATTGGGAGATTTTGACAGAGGTAAAGTATAAAATCTTTTAAGTGGCATTTAGTGAATCGGAAACGCATTAAGTGTTTTTTAATATAAAAACTCCTGTTTATTTTGTATACAAATTTGAACTATCTATTATTTTCCATTCAGGCCTATGAATGCATTTATTTTTTTATGATATTGTATTTCAAGATATAGGATATGTACTGGCAATAAGGCACCTGTCACTGATTTGCCTTTTTAATTGATATTATTAATACATGTCCGGCACTAAGTTGAAAATGTCAGGTACTATTTTATTAGTGCCTGACATTTTGCCAGGTACATGAGAGAGGGAGAAATGGGGTTTAACATCCACTGAACACAAACTAGGTCATGGTTCAATTTTATTTCAATAATTCACTTGCGCGTAGGGGTCTTTAGCAGTGGGGGGAAACCGGAGGACCCGGAGAAAACCCACGAGGTTGGACAGGCGACCCTACTCCTTGTCACGCACAACCGGGGATTCGAAACCACGGCAGTTGACTCAATGACAGGCTTTATGATACAGCACACACGTGCTAACCATTCGGCCATCCACCCCCCTGCCAGGTACATCCAAAACTATTATTTTGCTATGATATTGTATTTCAAGATATACATGTAGGCCTAAAATAGATCCATTTGAATCTTCATTATTTACAATTTCGGGGGGTTGGATGGCCGAATGGTTAGCACGCGCACGCGTTATCATACGGTCTGTCATTGAGTCAATTCCCCGGTTGTACGTGGCAAAGAGTAGGGTCGCCTGTCCAACTTCGTGGGTTTTCTCCGGGTCCTCTAGTTTCCTCCCACTGCTAAAGACCCCTACGCGCAAATGAATTATTGAAATAAAATTGAACCACTAACAGGGTAAATCTGTTAGTGTAAAAGGAATAGGAATATTGGAAATCAGTGTAAAAGGAATAGGGAGTATTGGAAATCAGTAAGTGTATAAGGAATAGGAGTACTGGAAATTAGTAAGTGTAAAAGAGATAGGAGTATTGGAAATCAGTTGGTGTAAAAGGAATAGGAATATTGGAAATCAGTAAGTGTAAAAGGAATTTGAATATTAGAAATCAGTAAGTGTAAAAGAGATAGGAGTATTGGAAATCAGTTAGTGTAAAAGGAATAGGAATATTGGAAATCAGTAAGTGTAAAAGGAATTTGAATATTAGAAATCAATAAGTGTAAAAGGAATTTGAATATTGGAAATAAGTGTAAAAGGAATATGAGTTACGGTAAGTGTAAAAGGAATAGGAGTATTGGAAATCAGTTAGTGTAAAAAGAATAGGAATATTCATTAATTGTAAAAGGAATAGGGAGTATTTGAAATTAGTATATGTAAAAAAAATAGGGAATTGTTTGAGATACATGTACATGGAAATCACCAATAGTGAAAGCTATCAGGTATCAAAAACTACAGTTCATAGAATAGGGCCCAGTCGGAGCAAAACAGTAGGACGTTAAACCCAATTCATTTCATTTACACAGAATAGACGGTGATTTATGAGATATGTACATACATGGAAATCAGTGATAGTTAAAGCCATGAGTTATCATAAAACAAGAGTATAAAGAATAGGGAATGATTTGTGAGATCTGTACATCAGTAATAGTTTAAGCCATGAGTTATCAGAAACTATGGTATATAGAATAGAGAATGATTTAAGTGATATGTTTGATTAGTAAACATTGACTGTTCATGTATTTATTTAGAGATTTATTTTCTGGTATGTGTACTGGTGTAGTATTTATCACTAGTATGAAACCGTGAAGATAGGTAGTCGATGACAGATTTAAATCATCGTGATTTATTTAGTTAGTCTCACAGATCAAATACTAATTGACATGTTTACTGTTGTTCTACATAGACTGTATGTGATACAAAATCATGGGTGTATGACCCAGGGGTTGAAGTAGCTTTAACCCGGCCATGATACACATGTTTTCTGGCAAAATAACACATTTACAGACATAAATAACACATTTTCAGGTGAAAAAACTCACACCACCTCTGCACCATCCCTAATATTTGTGCCACAAGGTTGGGAGCCTATCTGTACTTAAGTTATTTTTTCACTCACCACGTCACTGTTACCAGGCTATTTTTCCCCTGTTACCCCTACACCATTGCCCTCACCACGTCAATGTAAACAGGCTATTTTTCCCCCCATTACCACTACACCATTGCCCCCCCCATCACCCCTGCTCTATTGCCCTCACCGCATCACTTAAACCAGGCTATTTTTCCCCATCACCCCTGCTCCATTGCCCTCACCACATCACTGTAACCAGGCTATTCCCCCCCCCCCCCATCACCCCTGCTCCATTGCCCTTACCGCATCCCTGTAACAAGGTTATTTTTACCCATCACCCTTTAATATTTGTACCACTCGGTTGAGCGGCTACTTCAAGCAATTTTTGCCATCACCACTTTCCTTTCACCAACATGTTTTTAGGGGAAAAAAATCCCACCACCCCTGTGCCATCCCTAATATCAGTGCCACAGTTTTGAGAATACTTAAGCTATTTTTGCCCTCACTACGTTCCTGTCACCACTCGCCCTGTTGGAGCAGAACAGTAGGACATTTAAACCCCATTTCATTTCATTTCCCCATCACCACTTCACTGATTGAGGCTTAGAAATAAATGAAATGAAATGGGTTTAAATATCCTACTGTTCTGCTCCAACTGAGCTAATGAAGACAGGCATACGTGATACAATGTGCATTGAGGGAAATTTTACCCAGACAGCAGCGCTACGGCCTACAGTACTCTTACATCGAATTCCAACTGTCAAGAGATTAATTGTGAAACTATTTGTATTTTACAGGATTTTTGAAGTTATTATCAGAACTAACAAAAGTTGGGGATGTTTCACAAAAACAGTTCGCAGGTAAAAACAATTTAACTCAGATTTATAGGAGTACTATTTTCTAGGTTCGTTTTGTGGCTAGTGATCCAAGAAAAAAAAATAATCTGTTAAAAACATGTTTTAATGTAAACATATTTATCTAGATTAAAAACTATCATAAGTTCTGTCATTGAGTCATGTGGTGTGGTTTCGATCCCCCAATTCCCCGGTTGTATGTGACAAGGAGTAGGGTCGCCTGTCCAGCCTCGTGGGTTTTCTCTGGGTCCTCCGGTTTTCTCCCACTGCTAAAGACCCCTATGTGCAAGCGAATTATTGAAATAAAATTGAAATATATGAAAGTCCCGAAATGACCTAGTTTGTGTCGACGGTAAAAAGCCGCTCGTATAACCTCTGATGGTCAGATTTTCATGTAGTGTAAGCTATCGAAAGTATAAAAAAATGAAACAAAATATAGAGCTATATACCATTTTCACTTATTATAATTCTTATTTTTTAATTGTTTAGATCGGTTTCATCAAATGAAAGCCTGTCCCGGGGGATATTTCATCACAGTATTAGAAAATACAGAAACTCAAGAAGTGGTTGCTACGGCAACATTAGCCATAGAAACAAAATTTATACACTCAACTGGTGCTGTAAGTTATTTATATAACATCTTTTCTTCTTTGATTTTCAAGTGGCATGGGTTTGGGTAAGAAGGACTAACATGGGTGGGGCCGGACGTGCATTTAAGGGTCTTCTGCCCAGGATGGGGGTGGGTGGATATGGCCGAATGGTTAGCACGTACACGCTGTATCATAAGGTCCCTCATTGAGTGGGGTGGGGGGTCTGAGTCGACTGGCGTGGTTTCGATTTCCCTGTTGTACGTGGCAAGGAGTAGGGTCGTCTGTCAAACCTCGTGGGTTTTCTCCGGGTCCTCCCACTGCTAAAGACCCCTACGCGCAAGTGAATTATGTAAATAGAATTAAACCCAATGTTAGTCCCAAAATGACCTAGTTTGTGTCGAGTGGACGTTAAACCCCATTTCTCTCTCTCTCCGTCATTGAGTCAGCTGGTGTGGTTTCAATTCACCGGTTGTAAGTGACAGAAGTAGGGTCGCCTGTCCAATCTCGTGGGTTTCCTCCGGTTCTTCCGGTTTCCTCCCACTGCTAAAGATCCCTACGCGCAAGCAAATTATAGAAATAAAACATTGAATATTATGTTAGTCCCGAAATGACCTAGTTTGTGTCGAGTGGACGTTAAACCCCATTTCTCTCTCTCTCTCTTTTTCCGGCCCCTACGTATGAGAACATTTTCAGTTGATGAAAAAATCTCGCTCTCCTACTTTTGTGGTGTTTTCCCATGGCACATGTGACTATATGCCCCTGTTGGAACACGAACTTGGCACCCCAGGCACATGTGACTATATGCCCCTGTTGAAAAACGAACTTGGCACCCCATGGCACATGTGACTATATGCTCCTGTTGGAAAACGAACTTGGCACCCCATGGCACATGTGACTATATGCTCCTGTTGGAAAACGAACTTGGCACCCCATGGCACATGTGACTATATGCTCCTGTTGGAAAACGAACTTGGCACCCCATGGCACATGTGACTATATGCTCCTGTTGGAAAACGAACTTGGCACCCCATGGCACATGTGACTATATACCCCTGTTGGAAAACGAACTTGGCACCCCATGGCACATGTGACTATATACCCCTGTTGGAAAACGAACTTGGCACCCCATGGCACATGTGACTATATACCCCTGTTGGAAAACGAACTTGGCACCCCATGGCACATGTGACTATATACCCCTGTTGGAAAACGAACTTGGCACCCCATGGCTCATGTGACTATATGCCCCTGTTGGAAAACGAACTTGGCACCCCATGGCACATGTGACTATATGCCCCTGTTGGAAAACGAACTTGGCACCCCATGGCACATGTGACTATATGCCCCTGTTGGAAAACGAACTTGGCACCCTATGGCACTGTATCATACGGTCTGTCATTGAGTCAACTGGCGCGGTTTGGATTCCCCGGTTGTACGTGACAAGGAGTAGGGTCGCCTGTCCAATTATATTATTTATAGAAAAGAAGATTATATGAATGGTTATATTGTAGAGAGGTAGAATAGAAGATGTTGTAGTTAGTAAACAGTATCGAGGAAAGCAACTAGGAAAATTGTAAGTACACAAGTTGAACATACATTATGCAAGAGCTAAATCTGCTTATTGCAGGTCTTTCTTTAGGTCTGAAATGTTATATAAACTATTTAACATGAAAAGACCTTAATCCACTCTTGATGTCATCTTATGTGTTTGATTTTCACTGGATTTGAATCCGATCTGCTGCTCGACGCTCATTGATGATTAAATGCAAAAATGGATAATCGTAACTGTTTTTTTATCCTACCAACTTTAGTAATGATGATCGAGGCTAGGCTTAAAATTCAATGGCTAATATCGTGGTTCAGAGTGGAGCAATTTGACTGAAGTTTTCAGCATATTCCCTTTCCATTGTCTAGTTTTTAACTATTATAATGAGAACTGCCAGCTCTTTATCTAAACTTCCATAATACCCCTTTAATAGTTTAGTTTATATTGTAAAATAAGAACAGAATTAATACGATAAATATTAAGTTTGATAAACATTTCAATTTCTGTAAGAAATTAATTACAAGCAAATCAGGTAACTGATAATTTAATACTATAATATTGTGTATCTATTGTCCTGGTATTATTCCATCTTGGTACATTCTTTTAAAAATAAAATAGAGTTTAACTTCTTACTTTTCTTCTCATCCAACTTGATGTGCTATTAAAAATTTTGCCCAACTTTTAAAGTCTGTTACGACCATGTGGTCTGAATCCGATTTCTAATTCAAGGGCAAATAACTCGCCTGAAACCGATTCTCTTTCAGTCGATATAATAATACCAAAGTGAGAAACGGTTGGAAATAGATAATTGGGGTCAAAGCTCACTACTCTAGATTCAGTCCATTTGTGGCAATACTCACTAAATTTTGCTAAGTAGACAATCGAGTCTACAATGACACTTTAAAGCTATCCATATGACCTCTTTTAAGTCATGTAGACAATTTTTAAATGTCATGATTTAACTGTGTGCATAGATCATAAGGTATGTCATTGTGCCAAATGACATGGTTTTGATTCTCCGCTTGGGTTTTCTTCGTGTCCTCCTACATGCAAACAAATTATTGAAATAAAATTGAGCCTTACGTTAGTCCCAAAATGACCTAATTTTTGTTTGAGTGGATGCTAAAACCCATCTCTCTCTCTCTCACACACAAACATACCTATATTTGCATGGCACCTTTAAGCCTAAAGTATTTTTTTAATTCCATTTTTTAAACTTTTTTTTCAGATTATTGGACTGTTTGACGCTTCTAGCTCCTAAAGTAGGTTGTTACAAACTATCTCTAGAATGTAAAGATCCTTTAGTTGACTTCTATTCTACTTTCGGTTTTTCCAAAGAAGCAAACCAGAATTACATGGTCCAGAGATTCTGGGATTAATGTAACTCCGTGAAACCTGTTTTAACTTTAACCAGGAAATATCACCAAATTTTTGTGTCTTGATTATCGTCTGATCTCGGATATCCAGTTTATCATTTGATAAATCCAGGACCAGTAGCCATCAAACTTTCTTTTTTTTTGTTTTGTAATATATAGTGGACAATTTTTGTGCTGATATTACTTTTAGAGACCAGTAGCCATCATTTTTTTTTTTTTGTAATATATAGCGGACAATATTTGCGCTGATAATAGTTTTTAAGACCAGTAGCCATCGAACTTTTTTCTTTTTTTTTTGTAATTTATAGCAGACAATTTTTGCGCTGATATTACTTTTAGAGATGCACAATTCAAAATATTGTAGTTTGCAAGGAATTCAAAATCACTCCAATAACAATCAGAGACTGGAACCTTTATTCTGACCCCTGAGTTCACAATCTGAGAAAGCTTTTATTAATTTTATTAGAAAGTTTTCATAACCTCTGTGACTTTGTGTTGATGTCGCAATTTCACACAAGTTATTAGAAGTACCTGTAGATGTTAAACCCAAGATGTGGTAGTTTTCATGCTGTATCACACTAGTAGTAATAGTAGTAGTACCATATATGGGTAACTTTATTTGTGTCAGTGTGGTCTAGATGTAAACAGAATAAGTTTAATGAGCTAACTTTTATCTGCTTTGAGATAAACAAACTTTTGGTTACAGTGTTATAATGTCGTCTGTTATGGTAATTTCCATTTTATCTGATCGCATGTTCACAAAGCATTCTCAGACTTAAGTTAAAAATTTACTCAACTTTCAATCACTGTTTATGAGAAATATCTTGATCCAGAAACACAAAACTTTGCACATAGTTTCTTATTGATGTATTTGATACATTAAAATAAAAGTTTTATAAAGGGCTATATTTTAGTATTACCATAAGGCAAACAATTTTGAGTAAATTCTTAAGTTCAGTCTGAGAATTTTTGTGACCTCAAGGCCAGGTGTTTTAAAATTGTATTTCTAAAGATTAAGGCAATGTTGAGATATAAAATTCAAGCATATAGAACTTGTCCTATCATCCGAATTTATAATCTAGCACTGAATGGGCTCAATCTGATTAAAATACAGATCTATATTTGGTTTTGGTTTTTATACTTCCGATGGCCTACACTACATGAAGATCTGACAAGTTGTAGTGGAACGTTGCATCAGGGGTCGTAAGAGCGGCTTTTGACCTTTGATTAATCATTCAGTGTTGACGTTTCTAGTGGTTTACCCACAGTTCTGTCAATCTCGCCGTAACAGACTGTTTTATTGGTTAATCACTCACTTCAATCAGAACACAGGTTATATAACAACTCTTCCAGATCCTAGTGTAGTAAAGACAAAACAAAATTTTGAACTATAAAAAACAAAACGAAATAGGATCTGTGTTTTAATCAGATTGTGAATAAGCTCATTCTGTCCAGGTTTTTGTTTACAAAGCATATCTCATAAACAATTCAAGATATCCTTATGAAACTATGTACATCAATATATGATGTAATAGTTTTCTTGGATTTAATCACTTTCACGTTTCTATGGAAACAAATTTAACATAATTTTTGTATACAAGGGCGAGGGATGATGATGATTTCTTGTTTTGACCTTAATCAACGAGCACCTGTCGGTTGGTTTAAGCAGGTTTCACTGTATTGTTTTAAATTTGTTGTATATGTACAAGCACCTGCCGGTTGGTTTAAGCAGGTTTCACTGTAATGTTTTAAATCTGTTATATATGTAGAAGGGATACGTTTTATATTTATTAAATGCCTATTAACAGTAATTACACAAACGCAGCTAAGATATGGTTAATAGGTTTACGTGTGATTTATATACCATTATGTTAATTAATTGATATGCTGTTATGTTATTTAATATATGGTGGTGTTAATCAATAATTGTTTTATATGTTAATTAATGTACCATTATGTTAATTGATGTACTGTTATGTTATTTAATACTGTTATGTTAATATACAGTTATGGTAATTAAAATGCCATGATGGTATTTAATGTACCATAATGTTAATTAATGTACCATAATGTTAATTAATGTACCATTATGTTAATGTACCATCATGTTAATTAATATACCATTATGTTGATTAATATACTGTTAAGTTCAGTTATGTAATTAAAACGCCATAATGGAAATTAATGTACAGTTATTGTAATTAATACACTGTTAATTAATGTATCATTATGTTAATTAATATACCATTATGTTGATTAATATACTGTTAAGTTCAGTTATGTAATTAAAATGCCTTGATGGTAATTAATGTACAGTTATTGTAATTAATACACTGTTAATTAATGTATCATTATGTTAATTAACATACCATTGTGTTAAATAATATATCGTTATGTTAATTGTGGTAATTAATATTATGTTATATTAATTAACAAGCAGGATACCCAACTTCGCTGGGGCCCAAATTCACCTGGGTCCCAAATTGAATTCTATCATGGCCTAAAACATTCAGGGGTTCATGCTGGTTAATTTGATACCACATATGTGGGGGTGGATCGGGCGACGATACATACATACACACAGAGAGACATCATCGATTATATTTATATAGATATACCATTATGTTAATGGTAATTAGTGTACTGTTTTGTTAGTTAATATAGAACTATATTGATATACAAATACCAAAAAGAAATGAAAGTAGATTATGGTCTAATATTTACTAGACTGCTGCTATGACATTAGCTGTATTATTTACTCCAGTTATATTTTACGAAATGTTGAATTATTATATTTTAAAGAGCTTATTGTATTATTTATATCAACGCAATCTCATTTATATTACCTGTATATTGTCTTACTCACAGGCCTAGAAATAACAATTTTAATCACACCTGACTGTCAGGCACAAATCAAACTATACTGGACAGTCAGTAATTATTGGAAATCGTTAAAAATCGATAGGGTTCTGCATCTCATGAACTTAAACACTGTGTATAAATTTAAAGGCAGTCAGATATTAACTGTAGCCTCTAGAATGTATGTTCGATCCCTGCATTGGCCGAGAAAGTTCATCCAGATTTTCTGGCGTGGTTCCCCCTTGTCAGTGATGCAGGACAGAGGGGCTGACAAGGACATCTGTCTAGTCCTTCGGATGAGACGAAAAACCGAGGTCCCGTGTATACATTGGAATGCACGTAAAAGATCCCTTGGCAGTTGGAATTCGATATAAGAGTAAGCGATAGTGCCGCTGCCCGGGCAAAATGTCCCTCACAGCACACTGTATGGCGTATGCCCGTCTTCATTAGCCCACCATAGGGGCAGAACAGTAGGAGGTTAAACCACATATCATTTCATTTCATTTTCTCTAGAATGTCAGAAAGCAATTGCGGATAGTGGTCAGGTATGTGTGTGTGGGGGGTGGGTGTGTGTGTGTGACAAATCTGTGCAAGACATGATGACTGGCACCAGAAGAATGGTGCCTGACAAAGCCTAGATTTGTGCCTGACATTGTCTGTGATACATGCCTTATTTCTAGGCTTGCTTACTCACCTGTTAAAATTGTTTTTACCAATCTGATTAAAACACAGATCCTATTTCGTTTCGTTTTTTATAGTTCAAAATTTCGTTTTACTTGTCTTTACTACACTAGGATCTGGAAAAGTTGTTATATAACCTGCGTTCTGGTTGATGTGAGGGATTAGCCAATGAAATGGTCTGCTACGGCGTGCTTTTGACATGAGCTGCATGAAACTTAGGGTAATCCACTAGAACCATCAATGCTGATTGGTTAATCAAATATCTGACGTCATAGGGTCAAAAGCCAGTCGTATAACCTCTGACCTGACCCTCCAAAACAACTGGTCAGATCTTCATATAGTGTAGGCCATCGAAAGTATATAAAAAACAAAATGAAATATAGATCTGTATTTGAATGAGATTGTGTTTTTACCAAAGCACTATTTATTTTTGTATGTATTATAAAAAACGTTATTTTACATACTCGAGTGACTATGAAAGTAGATTATGGTCTAATATTTACTAGACTGCTGCTATGACATTAGCTGTATTATTTACTCCAGTTATATTTTACGAAATGTTGAATTATTATATTTTAAAGAGCTTATTGTATTATTTATATCAACGCAATCTCATTTATATTACCTGTATATTGTCTTACTCACAGGCCTAGAAATAACAATTTTAATCACACCTGACTGTCAGGCACAAATCAAACTATACTGGACAGTCAGTAATTATTGGAAATCGTTAAAAATCGATAGGGTTCTGCATCTCATGAACTTAAACACTGTGTATAAATTTAAAGGCAGTCAGATATTAACTGTAGCCTCTAGAATGTATGTTCGATCCCTGCATTGGCCGAGAAAGTTCATCCAGATTTTCCGGCGTGGTTCCCCCTTGTCAGTGATGCAGGACAGAGGGGCTGACAAGGACATCTGTCTAGTCCTTCGGATGAAACGAAAAACCGAGGTCCCGTGTATACATTGGAATGCACGTAAAAGAGTAGGCGATAGTGCCGCTGCCCGGGCAAAATTTCCCTCACAGCACACTGTATGGCGTATGCCCGTCTTCATTAGCCCAGCATAGGGGCAGAACAGTAGGAGGTTAAACCACATATCATTTCATTTCATTTTCTCTAGAATGTCAGAAAGCAATCGCGGATAGTGGTCAGGTATGTGTGTGTGTGGGGGGGGTGTGTGTGTGTGTGTGACAAATCTGTGCAAGACATGATGACTGGCACCAGAAGAATGGTGCCTGACAAAGCCTAGATTTGTGCCTGACATTGTCTGTGATAGATGCCTTATTTCTAGGCTTGCTTACTCACCTGTTAAAATTGTTTTTACCAATCTGATTAAAACACAGATCCTATTTCATTTCGTTTTTTTAGTTCAAAATATCCTTTTACTTGTCTTTACTACACTAGGATCTGGAAAAGTTGTTATATAACCCGCGTTCTGGTTGATGTGAGGGATTAGCCAATGAAATTGTCTGCTACGGCGTGCTTTTGACATGAGCTGCATGAAACTTAGGGTAATCCACTAGAACCATCAATGCTGATTGGTTAATCAAATATCTGACGTCATAGGGTCAAAAGCCAGTCGTATAACCTCTGACCTGACCCTCCAAAACAACTGGTCACTGGTCAGATCTTCATATAGTGTAGGCCATCGAAAGTATATAAAAAACAAAATGAAATATAGATCTGTATTTGAATGAGATTGTGTTTTTACCAAAGCACTATTTATTTTTGTATGTATTATAAAAAACGTTATTTTACATACTCGAGTGACTATATACTGTCTCGTTAGTCAATGTGTGTTTAGATATTTTATAAACCTAATGATTGTCAAAATCCTAAAAGTAGCAATAACAAAAAGGACTTTTCACGTCCTAATTTTCAGCTTCATCCGACCTAATGAATACATGTTTAGATATTTTACAAAACCCAAGCATTGCCAAAATCAGGGGCGGATCCAGGATTTTCAGAAAAGGGGGGGGGGGCGTGCTGCCCCCACTTGGGAGTCAAAGCTGAAGATGCTTTGTAGGCATAAAACGGCGCATAATGACACAAGGACACAACAGGACACAGGGACCGCCGACTTACGACGGGGATCACTACCATTTTTAAATATTTTTGTTTACCTTTCCCGCGAGAATATATGGGGCAAAAAATTGTTTGCCACCGCAAAAAATAGGGGGGGGGGCGTGAGCCACGTGCGCCCCCCACCCCCTGGATCCGCATCTGAAAATACAAAAAATAGCAAGAACAAAAAAAGAGATTGTCACCGGAATTAATAAATGGAATGAAATAAGTTTTAAAATCCTACTTTTCTACTACCATCCATGCTAAAGAATATTATGTTTAGATATTTTACGAAACCAATCATTGCCAAAATACAAAAAAGCAGTAAGAACAAAAATAAGGATTGTTATTGAAACAAATAAATGAAATAGGGGTTAATGTCCAAATATTATTGGTAGCATATATAATTGTACACTGTATTTTACTCATTATAATCCTATACCTCTACTTAATACTTATTGTCCCCCGCCTTTCGAAGAAAGCAGGGGACTATTAAAATGGGTTCGTCCGTCTGTCTGTCTGTCCGTCCGTCTGTCTGTCCGTCACACTTTTTGGGACACAATAACTCTCTTCCTAATTGAGCTAGAATGTTCAAACTTGGTGTATGTGTTTATTAGGTCAATGCCTTGATGGAGTTCGAAGATGAGCATTTTCCGCTTAGGGTAAGCAGAGATAAGCAATTTGATTGGTTGATACTTTGGGGCACGATAACTCTGTTCCTAATTGAGCTAGAATGTTCAAACTTGGTGTATGTGTTGATTAGGTCAATGCCTTGATGGAGTTCGAAGATGAGCATTTTCCGCTTAGGGTAAGCAGAGATAAGCAATTTGATTGGTTGATGCTTTGGGACACGATAACTTTAGTTCTAATTAAGTGAGATTGATGAAACTTGGTGTATAGTTTCATTACAGTAATACCTTGACTAAGTTTGATAATGAGCATTTTCTGCTCAGGGTAAGCAGAGCGATACGCAATTTGATTGGACTGTTTGATTGTTCAATACTTTGTAAAAGATAATTTGTGATAAATTTATGTGTCCTCTAATTATTTTCCTATTTCGGCGGGGGACATCAGCCTCACTGTTGGCTTGTTATAATTGAAATATAAAAATCCATTATAATCCTATACTGAAATTTCAATTCCAGAGTTATTCCCCTTTGTTTGAAATCTTGTTAGCATCATAGAGGCATCTTTTATGATCTGATTTTTTTTATTTGATTATGTCTATACCGTTTATTTGCTTAATTAGATAATATCAACGTTTTTTACATTTAAATAACAGGGGGTACATGAGGGGGATGCAATGACTCGTTTTGTGTCATGAGTTTTTGCAGCCCCTTGAGTTTTTAAGCCCCTCTCAATGGTTTTCAAAACTATTGGCATATAAACAAATATACTGTGGCTCAGATCTTATGATAAAGGACCCATGTGCTAACCATTCGGCCATCCACTCCCACAATTTTCTTGGATGCAAATGATGTAATTATGTGACGATGCCTAAGAATATATTTGTATATATATATATTTAAATCATTTTATTTATATTTTATTGGGTTTTATTATTAATGTTTGTTTGTCTGGTATTAAATTTGTGAGATTTACAATAACAGATTTCTTTTTTTTTTTTTTTGGTGTGCTTATATATATATATAGAAAATAAAAGTATATTTTTTTTAGTTGAGTTTATGTTATTGAGATGGGCATACCCACAGTGACCTCTTGATTCAGAACCATCTTTTTAGAGGGAGAGAGAAGAGAGAGACATTTTGGGACTAACATGGTTCAATTTTATTTCAATAATTCACTTGCTCAGAGGGGTCTTTAGCAATGGGAGGAAACAGGACTTCCCAAACTCAGAAGGAGGGGTAAAGCCAACTAGACCAAGGTGACCCCCATGCTAGGGTAATCTACTCAAGTCAAGTAGAGGTTAGCCAGATAGATTTTTGATGGAAGGAGAAAGTCAAGGTGGTCAAGTGTGTGAGACGCTGGCTCGCTAACCTGGAGATCACGTGTTCGATCCCTGCACTGGCCGAGAAAATTCATCAGGTTTTTCCGACATGGTTTCCCCTTGTCAGTGGTGCAGGACAGAGGGCCTGACAAGGGCCTGATATGGAAAACCGAGGTCCTGTGTATACATTGGCGTGCACGTAAAAGATCTTTTGCGGTTGGAATTTGATACAAGAATAGGCCATAGTGCCGCTGCCTGGGCGAAATTTCCCTCATAGCACACTGTATAGCATATGCCCGTCTTCATTAGCCCAGTCGGAGTAGGACGTTAAACCCCATTTCATTTGATGGAGGAAATTACTGAGGAAGTGGGTGTGGTCATTTCCTGGTTAAGATACTCATCTTTAGTACATAGCTCAACATTTTGGAGAGAGAAGAATGGGGTTTGACATCCTCAACACAACCAGGACCTGGAGAAAACCCATGAGGTCAGGCAGGCATCCCTACTACTTGCCATGGTTCAATTTTATATCAATAATTCACTTCCGCGTAAGAGTCTTTAGCAGTGGGAATAAACTGGAGGACCTGGAGAAAACCCACGAGGTTGGATAGGTGACCCTACTCCTTGTCATGTCACATGCAAGCGGGGAATCGAAACCACACCACTTGACTCAATGACAGACCTGTTAACTCATTCGGCCACCTAACCCACCGACGTCTGTGTGGTTATTGGCCAGAACTTTGTAAAACACTTGATTCCAGTAAATATTAGTAATTTATTCACAGAAAAACAAACTACGCTGTAAAATATTACAAGAATTAGGGTGACCCATTTACTCACAGAAATACAGTCCACCGCTGATAGTTCGAGACTACCACTGAAGCGTGCACATTCGCCGTGCCGAGACCAACTTTCTGACAGTATGATACTATAAATAGCCATGGCACGTGCATTTCTCTACAAATCTATCAACTATTACAGCCGTAAAAAATTTATTGTAGACGATTTTGAATAGCAGTAAAATTAAGCTTCTTGGTTATTACAGCAGATTTAGAAATTACGTTCGTTTCATTTTTTAAATCGCTTTATCATTAACTGTACCGTTAAGAGCGGCATCTTTTGGTTTAGTACAAATAATATCTCTGAATCACTCGGGTTAGACAGGAACATGATACTAGCAGTAGTTTCATTTTACTTTTACAAGCTTCTTAAAACGATTGTTGAGCTACCTAACGTGCTTATTTCTAAATTCAATTTCTTGTTCTAGCTTTCTGTTATGTTTCGTAAAAAAGTAGTCTTGATTATCCCGACCTGTCAATCAGACGTAGAATGGTCGATAGACTGGTTATGCGAGACTAATTTCAAAACAAGGGCACGTAACCTATCTTTTACTCAAAAGTGTCTGGATGTTATGGACGACTCTTGGAACTAGTTTTCCGTCTATTATTTATACATGATTAATGGTCATAGCTTATTAAGTACAACATGATCGTTTATTTAGTGACTATAATTGTGTGAAACTGATTTGTGGCTTGGCATATATATAAATATTGTGGCGTAATTGTCGAGATATATGGAGATATTTATTTATGGTGGGTCACCCTACAAGAATCCTATGTTCCGACATGATCAGGATTCGCTTCGTACAATTCATATTCAAATTCTTCTTTATGATTTTCATCGTACAGTAACGCTATATAGTCTATTTCAAGATGAAATGTTCCAGCATTACCGTCGGATTGGTTGATTCCAATATAACCCACAGCTGTTTTATCCAATTTCACTTGTTTATCTTGAATTCGTCCCTTGTTCGACAGGTAAAATTTGGAAAGGGGTATCTGTAAAGACAAAATACACAAAAAATAAAGATGTTTATTGTCATTTAAAGGATTGTGAATCCCTTGCAAGCTACAATACTCTAGTAGTAGTAGTACCTTGGGTCTTTAACTTCAGTCACCTGTCCAAGCTTGTGGGTTTTCTCCGGGTCCTCCGGTTTCCTCCCACTACTAAAGACCCCTATGTGCAAGCGAATTTTTGAAATAAAATTAAATATGTTAGTCCCGAAATGATATAGTTTGTGTCGAGTGGACGTTAAACCCCATTTCTCTCTCTCTATAACATCAGATTCCACTAAAGTGATATCACAGACAAGACTTAAGAGAGCTGAAACTTCTTCCTGCTTTTTAGAAATGAATTTGCAATCTTTCCATTTGCGGCCTCTGGCCATGGATTGGTTTAGTGGGAATTCCTATTATGGAATTCCAACTGCCAAGGGAACTTTGTACACAGGACCTTAGTTTCCATACCCTCCGAACAACTATACGTTGTCCCTTGCCAGACCCTTTGTCCTGCACCACTGACAAGGGGAAACACGCCGGAAAATTTTGATGAAACTTCTCGGCCAATGCAGGGATTGAACAGAGAGAGAGAGAGAGAGAGAGAGAGAGAGAAATGGGGTTTAACGTCCACTCGACACAAATTAGGTCATTTCGGGACTAATATATGGTTTAATTTTATTTCATAATTCGCTTGCGCATAGGGGTCTTTAGCAGTGGGAGGAAACCGGAGGACCCGGAGAAAACCCACGAGGTTGGACAGGCGACCCTACACCTTGTCACGTACAACTGGGGGATTGAACACAGACCTCCAGGCTTGCGAGCCAGCATCTTTGCCCACTGAGCTACCATGGATTCGTGGCAAAAACATTGTACATATTTAGCTATCTGCCAGTACAGTCCACCTGGAGGTTAGAGCCACCGTGACTCTGTGGCTGAAATAGAGAGAAAGAGAAAAATGGGGTGTAATGTTCAAATTTGTTTAGTGTCTAAATTGTCCGAGTACATGAGTATATAATTTCACTTAATATTCATGAGGTAAGATAAACCGCTGGTGTGGCGGGAATTCTGGCAGTGAAAGCGTCGATTTGCGTGGAAGGCATATTGTCTTTTCACCGTGTATACATTATGTGTTTTTTATTTTAGTGATTTTAAATTAGTATGAACAAAAGTGACTCTAATGCGTGTATTAGGGATTTAGTGATAAGTGAATAATTTCATGTTATGAATTGTGTGTTGTGTTTCATATTAGTAAGTGACTTTAATTCATTTTGCAATGAGACATTCATCGTGTGGGTGAATAGTTTTCAAGCAATTAAGTGAGCTTTATATCTTCTGACTTATGATTATTATCATCAAAATATAGACTATATATATAGAACTTTATATACTTCAATATTAACTTTTGTAATCATTATATTGCTGAATATAAACTATTATTAATTATTAACTGTGTTGGTGTCTACATATATGTAAAGAAGGTTCTCACGAAGACCGCGTGTTAGATAAAAAAATTTCCCCTGCTCTGGGTGTAACCTTTCCTGTGTCAAGGCCACAACTTTGGTGGTTCTTGACAATTCCAGAGATAAGAAATACGTATAGTATAACGAGTGCAAAACAATAGAAGATTTCACGCACTATCGGCACAGTATAGCCATTTTTCAGCTATACATAATATGGGGTTTAACGTCCACTCGACACAAACTAGACCCACATGGTTGGACAGGCAACCCTACTCTTTGTCACGTACAACCAGGGAATCAAAACCATGCCATTTGACTCAATGACAGACCTTATGATACAACACGCATGCGCTAACCATTCGACCACACTGTGTGGCTGAAATATCGTACATCCATACCATATAGATGATAAATAAACTTGTACCTTAACTATCTGCCAGTACGGACCACCTCTAGTGTACAGATGATAATGGTACTCATCACTCCAATAAACATCAAAATGAGCGTCAACACCGAGTCGAAGCAAATAATGCCGACCATCTCCTCTAACTCTTAAAACTAAACAATTAAATGGTTCAAATTGATACGCCTCTATTCTATCAAATGCTAACTGAAAGAGAAAATAAGGAAACAAAATGAAATGGGATTTAACATCCTAATTTTCTGCACCAACCCGCAGGACTAGAGAGAGAGAGAGAGAGAGAGAGAGAGAGAGATAGAGAGAGAGAGAGAGAGAGAGAGCAGGACAGAGAGAGAGAGCGGGAGAGAGAGAGCGGGACAGAGAGAGAGAAGAGAGAGAGAGAGAGAGAGAGAGAGAGAGAGAGAGAGAGAGAGAGAGAGCGGGACAAAGAGAGAGAGAGAGAGCGGGACAAAGAGAGAGAGAGAGGGACAGAGAGAGAGAGAGAAGAGAGAGAGAGAAAGATAGAGAGAGAGCGGGACAAAGAGAGAGAGAGAGAGAGAGAGCGGGACAGATAGAGAGAGAGCGGGACAAAGAGAGAGAGAGAGAGCGGGACAGAGAGAGAGAGAGAGAGAGGGACAGAGAGAGAGAAGAGAGAGAGAGAGAGAGAGAGAGAGAGAGAGATGGGGTTTAACATCCACTTGACACAAACCAGGTCATTTAGGGACTAACGCATGGTTCAATTTTATTTGAATTATTCGCTTGCGCTATGTGTATTTAGCAGTGGGAGGAAACTGGAGGACCAGGAGAAAACCAACGAGGTTGGACAGGTGAGGGCCTAATCAAATAGGGTAACAGTATTTACAAAGATATGATCACTGGACTACCCTCAATCTCATTAAAATATTTTGATTGCCTCCATTACATTGAAATGGCTTTTGTCCCTCTTGAAAAATACATCTTTTCCTTTGTTTGTTTTCTACTGCTGCTAACATCTACCCACAGTTCCGAAGAACTTGACTCAACAGACCATTCGATTGGCTAATCTCTTACATCAACCAGAAAGCAGGTTATATAACAACTCTTCCAGATCCTAGTGTAGTGAAGATAAGCAAAATGAAATTTTGAACTATAAAAACTAAACAGAATAAAATCCCTGTTTTAGTCAGATTGGATTACCGTGATCCCTGAATGTTATTAGTACGTACCGTTCTAAATGGAGATCTGACAGAACAGTAAGATGGCTTTTTACGTAGGCCATCTTTCACAATTTCTCCGCTTAAAATTCCGCTAAATATTCCGGTTTTATTTTTACTAAGGTTAAAATAAGATTCACTTCTACCTGCAAAATAAAAATATATAAGTTTTATGGTAACATACAAAATGATAAATGAAAGGATATTTTCCTTTGCCAACAACTGAGCAACCGCAACACCCGAACAATTTAAAGACACAATACTAGTTCTCTTCTCTGACACAGGGGTGTGATGCAGTCTAGGTAGCAGTAGGTTTGAATATGAACTACAAACCCAAATGTAAAAAGAGAGAGAGAAATGGGGTTTAACATTCACTCGACACAAACTAGGTCATTTTGGGACTAATATATGGTTCAATTTTATTTCAATCAATTGCTTGTACGTAGGGGTCTTTAGCAGTGGGAGGAAACTGGAAGAGCCAGGGGTCTTTAGCAGTAGGAGGAAACCGGAGGACCCGGAGGAAAACCCACAAGGTTGGACTGGCGACTCTACTCCTTGTGACGTTCAAGCCACTTGACTCCATGACAGACATTGTAATTTTACCCACATGCATTAAACCACTAGACCTCCCAATCCCCAAAAATGAGCTACAAACCTCAACGTAAAAAAACCCCATCATTTTTCTCTAATTTTTCATGGTAATCAGTGTTATCAATATTTACATGAACCATTTGTTAATGAGTTAATCATCTAATGTGTTTTATTTTATATTAACAAGTCTTTACATTAAAATAAGACCATATGAAGAGTCCAGAAGAACGATCTAAGTCACATTTTTGTCTTTTCGCATAAAAGGCAAAACAGACTTTTGGACAAGAATGATTGACGCGAACAGAACGAGTGGGTTTAATTACAACTTCAAAATGATGTTTAATACGAATCATAATTACCAGTTTCTCAGTCAAATTAATGTCAAATAAAGGGTACGTTGGATGTACTTGTCCGGGAGGCCATTTCAGAAGGGCCTTGGTTCGATGTGCCCCTGGGGGTTGAGCCTTGCAGTTGTCGTCCTTAGGCTATAAGGAATACATATCCCAAGTTCAAAGACAATCCATTTAGAATAGTGGCCTGTAGGCACCTCACAGAGACACAAAGAAAAAAGGGTGTGGCTCTTCCCCTGGGAGTTGGACAATCACCAAAAAACAACAGGGGGCATCCTTAGGGTATAAGGAATAGGTATGCAAAGTTTCAAAAGGATCTGTTAAGAATTGCGGCCTGTAGGCGACACAAAAGGCACACAAAATTTGGGCGTGGCTCTGTCCCAGGGGGTTGGGCATGCACCAAAAACAATAGGGATCATTCTTAGGGTATAAGGAATTCATATGGAATTTTTTCAAGACGATCGATTAAGAATTGTGGTCTGTAGGCGACACAGACACACAAAAAGAAAATGGGTGTGGCTCTGCCCTTGGAGATTGGGCATGCACCCCAAACGATAGGGATGTTCCTTAGGGTACAAAGAATAAGTATGCAAAGTTTCAAGATGATACATTAAGAAATGTGGCCTGTAGACGAAAAACAAACAAATACAAGAAATGGGCGTGGCTCTGCCCCTGGGTGTCGGGCATGTACCAAAAACAATAGGGATCATCCTTAGGGTATAAGGAATAAGTATGTAAAGATTCAAGATGATCACTTAAGAATTGTGGCCTGTAGGCGACACACAGACACACAAAAAGAAAATGGGTGTGGCTCTGCCCTTGGAGATTGGGCATGCACCCCAAACGATAGGGATGTTCCTTAGGGTACAAAGAATAAGTATGCAAAGTTTCAAGATGATAGATTAAGAAATGTGGCCTGTAGACGAAAAACAAACAAATACAAGAAATGGGCGCAGAGTATAGGTGGGGCAGATATCAGGAAATTTCAAGTTAATATCCGTTTAAGATATTAACTTGAGCTTTTAAACTACATACTAACATTTTCAAATTACAACTTGAATTTAATCTTTTAAGATATGAACTTAAATATTTAAGATATGAATGATATATTTGCACAAAGTATTTATAGGGTAGTTATTTCCAATAAAAGTATGGCAAATTTGGTACACATGGAAAGTAAAGACGCCAAATCTTACTAGAAAAATACTGGATGGTGCAGGCATTGGGCAGGGATGTCAGGGTATTACTCACTGTCAGCCCGACGGCTTAATGTCTTCCAGATTGACTTAGGAAGCTGCTATTATTTCTTAATCAAACAGTTCAGAATGCGTTTGTGAGAGTACCATGCAGGGACTGGCACATGGTGGGTGAACGATTTTCACCATTTTTTTTTATGTATGATGGGTAACCCCTCCAAACTCCACTGCCACAATTTTAGATCAATCGAACCATTTTTAGAGTGTAGAAAAAAATATGAAATTTTAAGACCCCAAAAAAGCCAAAAAATCATCATTTTCAGGCCACTTTTCAATTATGGCATACAACTAAACTACGGCGAGTAGATTAATGAAACTTTATAGGGTAGCAGATATGGTTTGTGAGTATACATTCTGAAAGTTTGATGGACTTTCATCAAGCGTTTAGATATGTCATTTTATTCTATCTATATCTCACCCACTGCGGGTTTAAGCATTTTTTTGGAATGCTGACTGAAAAGGCAATAATCTATAGTATTAAGATCAAGAAAAAAATTGGGTGGCACTCGACCCGTTTAGTAGTAAATAATTTCCATTTTTGTCCAAAAATAACGCGATTTTCAACAAAAATGACGAAAAATAAACCGCTTTATTTACACACTGAAAAGTGTGACATGGCACTGGAAACCAAATTAACGTGGTTTCAGTTCCATTAAGAGCAAGCCATAATAGAAATAGAAATAAACAAATAAATATAAACGCATTATATACTTTCATCAAATAATTTACGTTTTATAGAAATAAACAAATAAATATAGACGCATTATATACTTTCATCAAATAATTTACGTTTTATAGAAATAAACAAATAAATATAAACGCATTATATACTTTCATCAAATAATTTACGTTTAAAAATGTTCCATTATCAAAACTACAAATACTTATTACCAATAAGTATTTCAAATTAAAAAATATCGCTATACTTTATTCTTATCCACCATCTAAATAAATATCTATCTATCCATTAACTATGTGTCTAATAAGTATCTACTCGCAAAAACTGAGCTCACAATTACACCATTAAAATTTTCAAATGATGAAAAACTTAATTTACAGTAAATTCCAAAAGAGCTGTTCTTGGTAAATACAATTAATCTTCTAAACTATTTTTCAACATTTTATTAATTCGGCAATATAATCTCATGATCTAGTAGAAGGAACTCCCGAATCATCAGTACCGGCCCTACACAGGGTTGCTGGAAGGCGGTTGCATGGGCATGGGGCATTATCAGGCCTAATAATCCAGGCAATGAATGATTTTATTGGAAAAATGATGTCAAAAATGAAATCATTTTCTTCAAGTAAGCGCCTTAGTGGCTGGCTGTGTTTTGTTGAGCTCTGTGTTTTATGTGTTTTTTATGTGGATTAATTGATGTGTTAACTATGATCTTTTGCTTGGAACTTTTTTAAGGCACTGCCGACGGGAATGTCTAAAAACTCTATAAAAAATTTTGTTACTTTTGGAACTATATGCATTTAAAATATTGATAATATTCTATGGATTTATGCAGTGAGGTATGTTTGCCACTAATTGGCTTAATCCCAACAGTGACTTCACACCTGTACAAACTATCTTCAGTGATCCATTACTAAACCTTAGAATTACGGACTCTTAGAAAATGTATTAAAGACAGAACGGAAAACTGAACGTGTATCAAGGACTACTAAGTTAGAGATACATCGTCAATTGTATGTTAAAGCGAAGTTCCAAACAACCAAATGTATTAGGGAAGCTAAACAAACTTATATCCTCAAAAAATTGCAAGACGCATCAAATAATCCTAAACAGATTTACCAGATTATCAACAGTTTAACTACCGGTAAACCTAAATCCAACAACATCTTACCAGATACAAATAACCTCACAGGACTTGCTGACAATTTCTCTGAATTTTTCCAGAACAAAGTTGAAAAGATAATGCAAAATTTTGACTCTAACAACATTACGGATTTAACTCCATTTGCTGGTAAGCCATTAAATAATTTCTCATCTGTCACTACCGAACAGATTACAAAACTTATCTCGTCGTCAGCCCCAAAGTCATGCAGTTTAGATCCAATACCGACGAACATTACTAAATCATGTATATCTGAACTTGCCCCGGTCATAACAGACATTGTGAACAGCTGTATTGAAATAGGTATAGTTCCAGATGAAATGAAACTAGCATTAGTAAATCCGCTTCTAAAGAAACCATCATTAGATCCAGATGAACTTAAAATCTATAGGCCAGTTTCCAATCTCTCATTCATATCCAAAATTATGGAAAAAGTTGTTGCCGAACAAATGATCTGTCATCTACGTTGCAACAATTTGATAGAGCCTTACCAATCTGCCTACAATTCCAAACACAGTACTGAGACAGCCTTAATGAGAGTACAAAATGATATCCTTAAGGAAATGGACGCCAATAAAACTGTATTTCTTGTTTTACTGGATCTTAGTGCAGCATTTGACACTCTTGAGCATCAAAGTGTGCTAAGACGACTTTCAGCAGAACTTGGCATCACAGAAACAGCTCTATCATGGTTTACATCCTACCTGTGTGGACGCTTCCAAACTGTGGTAGGTGGCAGGCATAGCTCTAAACCAAGTGCCGTGAAGTATGGGGTACCACAAGGCTCGGTCTTAGGTCCCCTGCTATTCACGACCTACACATCATCACTTGGTACTATCATACGCCACAATAACCAGAAGTACCAGTTGTATGCTAACGACACTCCGCTTTACACAGGCTTCGAACATTCCAATGAACAAGACGAGATTGGTAAACTGGAAAAGTATTTGTCAGAAATTCGATACTGGATGAAGGCAAATAAGCTGAAGCTAAATGATGACAAGACCGAATTACTTAAAATTGGAAGCAAATACCATGTCAGCAAAACAAAAAGGAATTCTTTGAAAATTGGTGACACTGTAGTTGAAGCGAACACTAAGTCTGTATGAAATCTAGGTGTACAATTCAATTCTCTGTGCGATATGTCTGATAACATTACATCTGTGTGCAAGTCTGTCAACTTTCATCTTCACAACATCGGTAAAATACGCAATTTTATTGACCAGCCAACAGCGAAAATGCTTGTTAACTCCCTTTTAACATCCAGAATTGACTACTACAACTCACTCCTATATAATTCTCCCAAATATCAAATTGGCCGTTTGCAGAAACTACAAATAAAGCTGCAAGGATATTTACCAGGTCGAAGCCATCTGAGAATATCAGTCCAATTTTGAAAGAACTTCAATGGCTCCCAATTAACTACAGAATCGAATTCAAGATTTTATCCATGACCTATTCAACTTTAAACTGTGAATTTGTCCTAGAATACCTAAAAGATCTCCTGATCCCATACACTCCACCCAGAACCCTGCGATCATCTTCAAGCAACCTGCTTGTTAAACCAAAAAATAAGACAATTGCAGGAACAAGAACCTTTAGCTATGTGTCACGGTCGTATTTCATTAGTGTCACTATGGGTCGCCCAAACTCTGCCGCGTGGCTCGCCCAAACTATTTACCTGTAATATTAAGGCTTGCCCAAACTGTCTACCTTCAATGCATGTGCATACAGGTAGTATATAAACTGACAATCGGGCAGGTTTAGGAGATGGATTATGACAGTTGGATTGGAGGACTCGATACTGCCATCGGGTACTTGGATGAGTAAAATCGTTATGCTATTAATTTTGGTGTCTTGGTTCCGATGTGCAGGTTTCGTATATTTTACTCATCGTTGTATATTTTGTTAGTATGAGTAAATATTTCATGTATAAATGTTGACTAATTTTACAGGTCCCCTTTTGGGTACCTACTGACGGATGTTAACTGTTCACTTCTGGAGTCGCCGATAAATGGTATCGTCGATGTATGGTTTTGCCGATGGGTGGACTGTTCTGTAAATGGTATCGTCTATGATTAGTCACCGATAAATGGTATCGTCGATGTATGGTCTTGCCGATGGGTATCGTCTATGATAGTCGCCGATAAATTATATCGTCGATGTGTGGTCTTGCCGATGGGTGGACACTGTGTGCTGTAAATGGTATCGTCTATGATAGTCGCCGATAAATGGTAACGTCGATGTATGGTCTTGCCGATGGGTGGTCTTGCCGATGGGTGGACACTGTGTGCTGTAAATGGTATCGTCTATGATAGTCGCCGATAAATGGTAACGTCGATGTATGGTCTTGCCGATGGGTGGACACTGTGTGCTGTAAATGGTATCGTCTATGATAGTCGCCGATATGGTCTTGCTGATGGGTGGACTGTTTGTTCTGTGAATGGTATCGTCTATGATTAGTCGCCGATAAATGGTATCGTCGATGTATGGTCTTGCCGATGGGTGGACACTGTGTTATGGGAATGGTATCGTCTGAGTGGTCGCTGAACAATGGTATCGTCGATGTATGGTATTTGTTAAATGGTGTCGATATATGGTGATGCTGACGGATGGACATTTTTCCCTAGCTTCATAATTTATATAGTGCGCGCACTTTAAAGTGTTCATTGTTATATTGTATTTTGAGTTATATAAAATGAATTCTTTTGTATTTGTATTTTGTATTCCCCAAAACCGTCACACCTCGCCCATCCTATTCATGAATTATGGAATAGTTTAAGTGAATCCCTGAAAAATGCATCACCATTAACTAGTTTTCGAAAAAACCTTAAAACCATCCTTTTCCAGAGTGCTTTCAAGTGTTGATTTATATATTGAGTGTTTTATATGTGCTACAATCGCTTGTGTGTAAAATGTATTACGTTTGTGTATTTGATTATTTTTCGATTTTACGATTGTGTTTGTAAAGCGCCACTGAGCAACTCTTGTGTTGGATATTCGGCGCTATATAAATGATCAATTATTATTATTATTAAGTTCGACGATCAAATTTAATATGAAAGAAATCTGTGCCAGTCATTTTGTCAAAACCAAATATTAGTTTTAGTAGTTCTCAACTTCCATTATTAATAGAATTATACTCAGCCCTGCAGTGAGTGAGATATAGCATCATGAAATTTATATGTTTTAGCATATAGCAAAATCTACATCTCAAAATAAATTCCTCATAGCCTTAAATGGTTTTGGAAAAATTTAATAGTCATATATATTGAAGTAGTATACAAGATCATTCATAAAAAAATGATTAAAAAAAATCCAAAAATCAATAGGCAATTTATGGAAAATATTTGAATTTAGGGCATTTTTTTTTAAAAAATGACGTTATTTTAACTCTAAAATGGCCATAGCTGGTTCTCCGTAACTACAAGGTTGATGACCCTCATATTTCATGTGGGGTATACAGGGTACCCAATCACCAAATCTGCAAAGTTTGGTCAAAATCGCCCGACATGGCTTGTGCCTTTTTTTTTTAAATTTTGCATGATTCTCTCGCAAACTCATTCTTAAGTAGTTTTGCAATCTGGTTAAAACACAGATCCTATTTCATTTTGTTTTTATAGTTCAAAATTTCTTTTAACTTGTCTTTACTACACTTGGATCTGGAAGAGTTGTTATTTAACTCGTGTTCTGAATGGTGTCAGGGATAAGCCAATGAAAAGGTCTGTTACGGCGAGCTTTAGGCGTGTTTTTCACGGAACTGTGGGTAATCCACTAGTAACATCAATGCTGATTGGTTAATCAAATGTCTGACGTCATAGGGTCATAAGTCGGTCTTTTGACCCCTGACGTGACCTATCGCTATAACTTGTCAGATCTTCATGTAGTGTAGGCCATCGAAAGTATAAAAAAATGAAACGAAATATAGATCTGTATTGTAATCAGATTGGTGGTTTTGGGAACATTGAGGGGTTTTAATGTACAATAGACCCTGCAATCAAACGGCGGAAAATAATTTGGCAGAAGATAATCAAAGAATTTATTTAGGCTTCAATATGTACAATAAATGGACAGTAAGTAACAACAAATACATTCTGCAATGAACCCTCCCTCAATCAAGCAACATGACAAACATGGCTTCTAAAAATAGATTTTTACAACTGCCGTGAACCATAGGGGATAGCTCCCAATAATCGGGAAAGCTTCGGGGTACCTTCGCCGATAATCAACATCATCGGGTGAATTTTCATGTCGGGAGATTCCAGTAGCTTCCTTGGTTACATATCGGCGGCACTTATGCCTATGTCCAACTGGAACAGGGAACAGGTTCTCCGGGTGTGCAGGGAAAGCTTCTGGCTCCTTGTGAGCCCTCAGGATAACTGCGAAAAATTTCAAAGCTTGCATTGAAAGTTTTTCCGACGTGTTCCCGACGTTTTGTTGGGAAAACTGGCCGGGGTGGCATCCCGGCACCTTTCCAGGTCCATGGGGAAGCTCTGGAAATGCTTCCCTGGAGCAGTGAAGCTTCAGCGAAACAATTTTTCCCGAAACTTTGGTGATTCCTCGGGAAGCTTTGGGGTTGTCGTGTGTCCTATGGAACCATCGGGAGGCCTTGGGATAACTGCAAAAATTTCTGAAGCTTGTATTGAAAACTTTTCTAATGTTTTCCCGACGGAGAATCTCCCGGGATGCTTCCCTGAAGCTCCTGCAGAATACTTTTTCACCCCGAGCCATCCCCGATTTAAATATCCTCGGTACTTCAGCAAGACATTACAGATGCTTCGGTAATGCCTCGAGGAAACAATTATTTCACGGAAGCTCCAGGGAAGCATCCCCGGAGTTTGCTTGTGGATCTGAAAAGCTCCGGGAATGCCTCCCAGGCCTGTTTTACTGACAATGCCTCCCGATGGGTCCACGTGGCTCACAATGCCTAAGGAGCTCCTCTGAGACACTGGGAAACCTGATCCCGACGCCTCCCGAGGCTCACCAATTTATATCTGTAGTACATTCGCAAGGCAAAATATTGCCTAGTGGTACCTACGCATTATTTTTAAGACAGTTGTAACTGGCTTAATACGCCCTAACAAGTGTCACTACTTGAAATTGCGCGACTTATTAATATTTCAATTGTTGATTATATATTTCAGCAATAATCTTATATGTTACGCCAGGTAAAAATTTCGAAACTTCAGTCAGAAGTAATATAATGACTAGATGGCTTGATTTTTAATGTAGCAGAAATAATAACTTGTTTCTCCCACGTGACCATATATGATGTGTATGGTAGAGATCGGTTAACTGAGGACTTGATACACTCGCTGTCCAATAAACTCTAACCGCGGACCTGATACACACAATCATATTTTTCCATTTTCAGATCACACACGAAAGATACACCCTAACTGTAGAATACCGCCTAACGTGGAGCACCTCAGATCGACCTTAAAATCAAACGGGATATTAAATCCGGGTTTCTGAACATCTTCACAGTCTTGGATTTAGTCCAAAAAGTCCTCGGTTGAACCGAGGACGTCCTTGGTTGACACAGGTCCGCGATTAGAAGGTGTGTATTCAGATGTGTGTCCTCGATATACACCATATACAAACATACACACACACACAGACAGGGGCGACGGCATAATACGTCCACGTATAAAAATTATCACAAACCTTGACAGACTTCCTTATCCGAAGATAGAACCCAACTATTCACTGCTCTTTGATGATCAAATTTAAATAAATATTCGTAATCGCCATGCACAGCTTGCTGTGGAGGATCTCCAAACACTCTTTCTCTTTCTTCTCTAACCAACCTTTTCACTTCTTGACCAAAATAAACAGCATTGTCTTTCACTTCTTTACGAAAATTTCTTACACCATCTCTAACTGTCTTCGTAATGGGTTTTCGTTTCTTTGGAGGTTGTAAACCTTCGTTTTGTTTGTCTTTTGTCAATGGATACCCAGAGGCTCGTTGACATAGGCCTAGATTTATATTAGTTTGTTCATTGAGTAGCCATTTTGTTTTGTTATTTTGTCCCAGTAAACAAAATCGACACAGTCTACGAGTTGCAATCAATGCCATGATTAATTATAATTGTGTTGTGTTATCGGATGTTTTCACTAATAAAATTCATTTGTCGTGTTGTCGGTTATAACACCGAAACTCGTTAAAAAAAAATATTCTTTCTGGTAAACTTCACCTGTTCGTCATATTGATATCTGCAATAAATAAGACAATAGACCAATTAAAGGAACATCGATATGAATATGTCTGCCTAGCAACGGCTTGACTGCCTTGATTAAAAAGAGATGATTTGTGCCTGTGTCAGGTACAGTCATATGCTTACTAGTAACTGTTGTTAGGTTAGGTGTTGAGGAAAATGAACAAGGAACAAGAATAAATACCAGTAGTTGATTTGAACGAAAATATGATCCAGTTTTTGTGCAGTTAATGCTGGTGTGATTCATGATAGCCAGATAGCACTATGTCCATCTTCATTAGAAATTTCCTAGAGAGAAAGAGAGAAATGGGGTTTATCGTCCACTCGACACACACTAGATCATTTCGGGACCAACATATGGTTCTGTTTTATTTCAATAATTCACTTGCGCACAGGGGTCTTTAGCAGTAGGAGGAAACCGGAGGACCCTGGAGAAAACCCACAAGGTTGGACAGGCGACCCTACTCCTTGTCATGTACAACCTGGGAAACAAAACCGCGCCAGTTGACTCAATGACAGAGCTTATGATACAACCCACACAGGCTTACTATTCGGGCATCCAACCACCAACCCCAAAAACTTCCTGTAACAGACTGTGTTTGGAAACGAGATCGATCTTTTGTGCATTGGAATTGATGGCAAAAATTGCAAAGTTTTACTTTACTAAAGGTTTACTAATTTACACAAATTTTCAACAATGTTTTACCGTATTGTTGATTCATCATTGTCCGAAATCAAGTTAATATTGAGTCTGAATCGTCATCAGACTGAGTCCGAATCGTCATCAGACTGAGTTTGAGTCGTCATCAGACTTGTCGAGTCCGATCCATTGTTAAGTGGGCTAAGTCCGAACTGTGGTCTGTGTGGAGTCTGAAAGGTTGTTGAACTGAAATGCTGTGTGGTGTGTGATACAAGAGTCAAGAGCTACGAGCTACATCTAATTAATGATTTTATGATATTCAATCTATTTTATTAAATATAAGTACATGTGAGGGCTATAGGGCTGATAAATGGTGAACTGATTTATATCTTTTCTTGCTAACTTTTAACTAGAAATGAATGCCCGTTAGCACCCCATTGACTAGAGTAAAAAAACAAATAGAGTAGAAAAGATACCGGTTTAAGCTTTTAACTTAAGTCACATGGCATTGAATGGATTTCGATATGTTGGTCAATTCTTGTAATGTCAGTCTTTGACATTTACAATCGAAATACCCTCCCCGAACTACAAAACAGAGATTCGAATATTACGAATAAAAGGCATTATATATATTGCGATGAATTTACCAATTAAGTCATTTTAATATTTCTAAAGTAAAAATAATACCACTGCCAGAGGTCATTTCCATCCCGGAAACATAGACGCGATTAACCTGTCAGTAAAAACTCCAAAACTCAGCCAATCAACACACGGTTTATATTGATCAAGACGATGAAACAGGTACTCTGGCCTTGACTTGCTCACGGAAGGTGAAGTAAATTTGGGATGATTAACTAAAAAATGGTATTTTGATTTATTCTGTTCACATCGTTGTATTTTATTTAGAAAATTCGGAGTTTATAAATCTTAAAAATGGGTGCCAGATCTTCGATGCAGTTACAAGAAGAAGAAATCAATGAGATACAAAGAGAAACCGGCTGTAAGTTACATTTGATATATTATACATACGGTAACCCGACGGTAATTGTTGATGAAAGTCCGATGTCTGGGCCCGTTCTTTCTTTCCCAAATTTCGCTGAATCAGTCCGGTAAAGTAAATGTTTTTTTCTACCGGTACCTCAATTTCCATGTAAGTTATCATTTTTGGGTTCGTATTTTTAAACACCAAGGCACTGCATATATTCCAAATAATATTAGTGATGTTGATGTTGATACTGGTATTTTGTTAAATAAGATTTACTCAGTCCAGAGCAAAGTCCGAAATAAGTTTAGTGTGGGCTAAAATATATTACAGGTGTAAATTATATATATATGTATATTAGAGATATAAGGTATATTAAGAGAGAAAACACAACACAATTTATATGGAAAACAATCACTGGTTTATACACATATAGCACGACGTTTCGACAAGTATTCTCTTATCGTTGTCATCAAGTACAAATAATGTCTACTTGATAATGATAAGAGAGTACTTGTCGAAACGTCGTGCTATATGTGTATAAACCAGTGATTGTTTCCATATAAATTGTGTTGTATAGGTCTATAGAGGTGTAATGTATATATAGAAGTGACTACTATAGATAGATCCATTTGTCTATGATATCACTCTTGGTGGAAGTTGACGTAAAACATCAGGAACGAACGAATGCTAGATCCATGGCTCATAGTTATTATTTTCAAAAGAAGTTAATTTTGGTTGGGACATTTTCCCGTTGTCTATTCTTTCAAGTGATCAACACAGAATTATCAAGACAATTATGGCATAATGTATATACTGAACTCATATTTAAAGGACTGTTATAAGGCTGCATCCTGATCGAAGGGTGTAATGATTGATTAATTAATTGATGAGTGTAATTAAATCAGATCTTCAGGCAGTAGAGGCAATCAAATAGTCATTAAATTTTATAACCAGGAAAAGATTGGAGTGTGGTAAGATTAAGTGCAATTCACTGGACCATGACTCTATAATAATAAAAGTTTTAAAGGTTTTTAAACCTGTATAATTTGAAATAGAGGTCAATTTTATGTTCGATTATTTTTTATTGGTTCAGTGAGTAAGGCCCTGGCTTGCAAACCAGGAGGTTGTCGGTTCACTTCAGGAAAAGATTGGAGTGTGGTAAGATTTAGTGCAATTCACTGGACCATGACTATATAAAAATAAAAGTTTTAAAGGTTTTTAAACCTGTATAATTTGAAATAGAGGTCAATTTTATGTTCAATTATTATATATTGGTTCAGTGAGTAAGGCCCTGTCTTGCAAACCAGGAGGTTGTCGGTTCACTTCAGGTACTGGTGGAGGAAGCTCATCAGGATTTTTGACAAGGAGTAGGGTTGCCTGTCCAACCTCCTGGGTTTTCTCTGGGTCCTCTGGTTTCTTCCCACTGCTAAAGACCCATAGGAGCAAGCGAATTATTGAAATAAAATTAAACCATATGTTAGTCCTGAAATGATGTAGTCTGTGTCAATGGACATTAAACCCAATTTCTCTATCTTTCTCATCAGGATTTTCTGACGTGGCTTCCAATTGTCAGTGTTGCAGGATGGAGAACCTGACTGACAAGGAACAGTGTCTAATTGTTCAGATATGACAAAAATAAAGATACCCCATGTACACATTGACATGTACATAAAAGAATAAAAGAACCCTTGACATTTGGAATTCGAAATAAGAGTAGGCTGTAGCGCTGATGTCCGGGTAAAATTCATCCATAGCACACTGTATGGCGTATGCCTGTCTTCATTAGCCCGGTTCGGAGCAGAACAGTAGGACTTTAAACCTCATTTCAGTTCCTTCATTTCAAAAATTTTCTTGTTGGACATTGCCATTCCTTACAGATACAATTTTCACAATATTTTAGTTTGCAATGGATTCAAATACCCCTGTGCTACATTTTACAAATTATGTTGAGGAAACTCAAAGTCGATCTTTTTTTCTCATTTCAGTCTCTCAAAGTCAGATTGTTAGATTATACAGCAGATTTACAAGTTTAGATAAAAGTAACAATGGTTTTCTCAGGTAAGTCAAATTATATGTCTTTATATGGTCATGCGGTCTTGTTGTTATGACACAATTTATATGGAAAACAATCAAGGGTGATAACGCAGTTAAGCGTTACCTAGGAAACTTGCAAGAATGGCCAGGTGTAGATTCAAGGCTCATCTAGCATTGGTTGAAGATAGAGGAGCGATTAAATTTTTTTTACCGTCTCCATGACTTTTGATATACAAAGTTCAGTGGTGCCATTAAGGACCATTGATGAAATCATTCCAAAGGCGGTGCTCCTGGGTACATGAAGGGTAAACTAAAGCCTCATTTAAATAAAGTTTAGTCAAAAACAGTAAATTTAGAGAGAGATTATGCCTGTAATAGTTTAACACCTGCAGGTTAAATCACAAGGTCTGTCACTGAGTCAAGTGGCATGGTTTCAATTACCCCACTTGTACGTGATAAGGTGGTGGATTGCCTGTCAAACCTTGTGGGCTTTCTTCGAGTCCTTGTTTCCTCCCACTTCTAAAGTCCCCTACACCATCTAAACACTAAACTACATAGGGGATTTATACCAAACTGGCAGGATAGTGGAGTAAGGGGGAGTCACGATCAGACGGACTCAGCATCTAAAAACTATTCCACCAAAAACAGACACCAAACCTACAGAGTGGGATAGTGGAGTAAGGGGAGGTCACGATAAGACGGGCCTGGCACCTAAACACAAACCCCACAAAGATGCCCCCCACCAAACTAGCAGGATAGTAGAGTATGGGGGAGTTACGGTCAGACGAACTCGGCACCTAAACACTATTCAGCAAATAAAACTGATACCAAACCCAGAGAGTGGGATAGTGGAGTAAGGGGAGGCCACGATAAGACGGGCCTGGCACCTAAACACTAACCCCAAACGATGACATCTACCAATCCAGAAGCAGACGAGATCATCTACCAAATGATATGTTTTATATTAAATAAAGGGAAGAACTTCCCACTAAACCAAATCCATGGCCTAAGGCCAAATGGAAAGATTGCAAAATCATATTCTAAAAAACAGGAATCAGCTTCGGCTTTCCTATGTCTTGTCTGCGATATCACTTATGTGGAAGCAGACGTTAAACACAAAGAACGAACGAACGACGAAACAAATTAAGATACAATTGAACCATATGTTATTCCTGAAATCACCTAGTTTGTGTTGAATAGATGTTAAACCGCCCTCTCTCTCTCTCTGTGTAATAGACAGTCATTTCCACCAACAAAAATTAATGATTTTTTTTATTTTTAGTCGAGAAGATTTTCTGAGAATACCAGAATTGGCCATTAATCCTCTTGGAGACAGAATAGTACATGCTTTCTTCCAAGAAAGGTAAATTTACACATTGATTGCTTTTTGAAATATTTTTAATTACCGCTAGGGAATATTTAATGTGGATACTCATCCATGAATCCAAGTCTATTAGTAAACCCAGGTAGAATTGTTCTTTGAAGGAAATATTGCATGGATATCAACATTTCTGCTTGCTCTTCAACTGTCAAGCACAATGTTGTTTTTTTTATCCCATTTAAATGACTAGACCCTAATTCCTGCACTACTAACAAGGCCAAAACAGACTGGCAATTCCCAAGGAGGTTTTATAGCCAACACTGCTGTGTGCTATGAGGGACATTTTGTCCAGATAGTGGAAGCTTTAACATGCTGTTTATGGTATTCACTGGACCTCATTTTTTGTCTCATCCGAGGGACTGGATGCTTTTTATTGCCTTCTATCCTGCACCACTGACTAGGGGAAACTACACTGGAAAATCAAAGAAATTCCTTACCTTAGCCAACACTGAGATTAAACCCAGGACCTTCTATCTAATTAATCAGGGCCATACTAACTTAGTCACTTGTTGTAAAGATTAGATAAAGGGCTGACAGTTCTCGCTATAATAGTTAAAGGAGCTAAATCGCTAATATTTTGGACCTAGAAATTGGCACAAATGGGTCGCAACACATATAATAATGTAATATGAATTTATATAAACTGTTTTACATTCAATCCTATTCGTCTTACTGTGAATACGCCAGAAGTCTCAATCGCAAGTCAGTTTCTAGCGTCTGGTTATTCCAGTCAACACCGATATTATTTATTGTGCATGCTCTCCAAATAAGAATATGATATCTGCACCGTTTGACATGACTTGTGGAATATGTCTAGCCTCATTCTTTGAGCACCTTGTTACAAATGGCACTGAAATGCATTGTGGTACACGATTTGTGTACCAATGGTAAAATGTATATTTTGTCTTAAATATTGGATATCAGAAGCCCATCTTTTCCAGGTAAGATCACAACACCAATGCTGATTTAAATTGCAAAAAAATTTGTGTTTTCAATGTCGAAGATTTTGGATGATATTGAATTACGGACTTAGCTACTTTAAAATATAGATAATGAAAAGGGAATACCTTGAAAATTTCAGTCAAATTACTTCACTGAGTTATCGCCATTAGAAAAACAGTGTAGCCTCTATTGTCATTACTACCATTTTTAAGATAATTAATAAACAGAATCTCGCTTCTTCATTTTTAAATTCAACCTCTAAATGGCCGAACCGATCTAATCTACTTAAAATCAGAGTCATCCAATGACATTGAGAGTTGATTATAGTCTGGATAAGTTAATTGATGTCTAATTAATAATTTAAGGTCGAAAGAAAGACTTGCAATAGGCAGATTTAGCTCTTGCATAATGTATGTTTAAAGAGAAATTGAAGCCAAGAAATCCTGTCTAGTGAGTCATTTATTGTGATAAGAATAAAGACTAATTTTATATCTCCTCCTTCCTTTCCTTGTAGTAATGATGAAACAGTTAATTTTAAACAGTTTATGAGAGTTTTAGCCAGATTCAGACCAATCAAAACCAATCAAGATAAAAATAAGATGAACACTAGAGAAGATAAACTCCGATGTAAGTATATGATTACGTTGGTCGACATGGCCGTCTAAAACCTAAACCTCCTTGTCCAAATATGTAAGCATATGATTAGACACAAGGCCTTCTGACCCCCTCTGCCCTTAAGTCCCACTTTGTCCAAAAAGTCCTTGCTCTGAAACAATCTTTGAGTCATTATTATCAAGGTACTTTTTACCAGGAAGTTTCAGAATTATCTCCCTTTCACAGAAAAATATCAAAGTAGGAGATGAGACAGGGGGATGTTGTGGTAACCAGGGCACTGGTATATTCGAGTCTTAGCCTCAATTTCCCATTTTTAAATTAAATATTTAAATGGCTAACTGTTCTAATCTAGTTAAAATCTCGACTACCCGATGTCACAGAGAGTTGATTATGGTCTTGTTTTGTTAATAAATGTCTAATTAATAGTTTATATAACATTTGAGGCCTAAAGAAAGACCTGCAATAGGCAGAATTAGTTCTTGCATAATGCATGTTTTGTGTTTCAATTTGTATTTTAGTTTTAAACTGTATTTTTCAGTTGCATTTAAGATGTATGATTTAGATGGTGATGATAAAATATCAAAAGATGAATTATTAGCTGTTTTACATATGATGGTTGGTGCTAATATATCAGAAGAACAGGTAATTAAAATTAATCACAGTCTACTAGAGGGTGGGGGGGTGTCCTTATGGTTAAACATGTGTGCTTTCGATCACAAAGTCTGTCTTTCATTAAATTAAACCATATGTTGGTCCCAAAATGGCCTAGTTTGTGTCGAGTGGATGTTAAACCCCATTTATCTCTATTCCACATTAAAGTTGGGGAGTAGTATAATCTATTTTTGTGTTATATTATAGTTGGGGAGTTTTGTAACCTATGTTTGTGTTGGGGAGTATTGTAACCTATGTTTGTATTATATAATAGTTGGGGAGTATAGCTGATAGAACTATAACAGAAGTTGATTATAATAAAGATAACCAGATATCATTTGAAGAATTTATAAAGGTAAAATATATTTATTTTTCTTCATATATATTTTCTGCTACTTGCAACTTGACAGAGCTAAGGACTTGAGTCGCTGTGAGTGGATATAATTCTAACTTGCCTTATTCGCCATGAATGGCTGACTTATTTGATGACCTGGTAACTTGAACGAGACTTTGGCTTTATGAAGACTTAGCACTCGATTCGATTTGGTACTGAAGTCAGCGAGTTGGGACTCACGTTGAACTGGAGGTGCAGCAACTTGTTCCCACCTTTGCTAGTTAGAACCTGACTATTATCAAGATTAATGGGCTGAGTGGAGGACCAAGATGGCCCTGATAATCCAGAGCTCATGTTCTAGTCTTGTCTGACCAGCCGTGAAATTGATTAGTTGAAGAACATACCTGTGAGTCAATTTTTATGCCATAAAAAGAAAATAGCCTTGTAACACAATAAATGCAGTTATATTCATTGTTTTTATGTTAAAATATATGCTAAAAAATTGGTATAGTGCTAAAGATTGGAAAAAAACATCTTGTTAATCTGAGGTAAGCAAAATATGTTGAAACTGACTGCTTGACAAATATGTTTTACTGTAAGCTCCTGTTATAAAGTAGTCTTTTATTTTTATTTCAGGCCATGGAAAAAGTAGATGTTGAACAGAAAATGAGCATCAGGTTTCTCAACTAATAATTCATTATAGATCATGATCGGACAGATGGTAACTTAGCAACATAACAACATATCGCTTTAAACTGTTTTAATTTTAAAATGAATTAAAGAATCCCCGCTCAACAGTAGCGCAACTGACTTGGTAGAAGTGGGATTGTTTAATGAATAACGTTTTGGGTTGTGATACCCTTTTTCAAATGATAACATAATAATTTTATTTTGGTTTTGTTTAGGCCTGCAACGATTCACTGATAAAATCTAATATAATATGATCGGTGCCTTCATAACGAATGATGATCTATATCTACTGTAGTTCTGTTAAATGGCAGGACGAGAAATGGCATTATGGGTAAAACAAAATCCCAGTTTTAGAAAGAGGTAGATATCTAAAATACTAAAAGTGTCTGTGCATCGAGTTGCTCCATTTTGTAAAAGAAACTACAATCTTAGGCCTACTGAATCGGGATGCACAGTGTATCACAGATACAGGAATCTTCACAGTTGTTGTGGAGTCAGGCCTGGAAATAATGTCTTTTGTGGTATCTGACAAAATATCAGGCTATATATTAAATTTTGTGCAGAACCTGTATTAAAGATATCAATAAAAAGATAAATTTGTGCTGGATAAAAAGGCATACACCGTATGATTAGTACCTAACAAAGTTTGAATTTGAGCCAGCATTGTCAATTGACGGATGCTTTACCGGTATTTCTAGTTTGATTAAACCACATGTTCTGGTAACGTACCACAGGTTCTGGTATTGTACCGCAAGTTCTGGTATCGTACCACAGGTTCTGGTATCGTACCACAGGTTCTGGTATCGTACCACACAGATTCTGGTACCATACAAGTTCTGGTATCATACCACAGGTTCTGGTGTCATACCACAGGTTCTGGTGTCATACCACAGGTTCTGGTGTCATACCACAGGTTCTGGTGTCATACCACAGGTTCTGGTGTCATACCACAGGTTCTGGTATCATACCACAGGTTCTGGTGTCGTACCACAGATTCTGGTATCATACCACAGGTTCTGGTGTCATACCACAGATTCTGGTATCATACCACAGGTTCTGGTGTCATACCACAGGTACCACAGGTTCTGGTATCATACCACAGGTTCTGGTGTCATACCACAGGTTCTGGTGTCATACCACAGGTTCTAGTATCGTACCACAGATTCTGGTATCATACCACAGATTCTGGTATTTTTGCAGTCATAGTTGTGTTGAAGTATATACAAGAAATTGGAGTCACAAGGTCTATATTCTACATAAGTTAGGATATCGAGTTTTACGCAATGGTCGCAACACAAATAAAATATTAAACTCTGTTTATGTCGTATATTTCAAGATATCATTTCCGAAAGATGTATATTACTGATTTTCAGTACATATCAAAACCAAAATGAAAAAGTTGTAAATCCAGTTTTATTTATTGAGATCGGAGTAAGGAATAAAAAAAAAAACAATTTTTGTTTAATTGAGGGTGTAAAGGGTATGCCTGCCTCCAAATAACTTTTATCCAATAAATTTTAATGTTGATGATTAAAAAATTTATGTGAAATTTCAATGAACATATCAAATTCTTCCAAAAAACTGTTGAAATAAAACAAGTCAGTGATCTAAAACACAACTATGAACTTCTACCCTGGAATAAATTTAATTCGTTGAATATTTTACTATTTATCGTCCTATTTTACCTCACTTCTTGTTGCCAAAAAAGGGGTTTAACGTTCTACTTTTCTGCACCGACTGGGCTAATGAAGACTTGAAATAATATTCGATATGACTAGAAATAATAAAAACCAGAATAACAACAATAAATGGTGTAAAATAGTGACATAACCTCCAAATATTTAATATGGCCTTTAATTTAAACTAGTCCCTTTATATGTAATATGCTTAAAACACAGATCCTATTTCGTTACGTTTTTATTGTTCAAAATTTCATTTTACTTGTCTTTACTACATTAGGATCTGGAAGAGTTATCATTGACGTGTTCTGAATGATGCAAGCTATTAGCCAATGAAACGGTCTGTTACGGCAAGCTTTAGGCATGTTTTGCACGGAACTGTGGGTAACCAACTAGAAACATCAATGATGATTGATTAATTGAATGTCTGATGTCATAGGGTCAAAAGCTGCTCGTATGACCTGATCAGATCTTCATGTAGTGTAGGCCATCGAAAGAATAAAAAAACGAAACGAAATATAGATCTGTATTTTAGTCAGATTGCTTTATGTGTAATTAACTACGTGTACGCATATAATTTGTGTTTTATAGTATTTTATGTCTTTGTTTCTTTGTTAAACTATTTTATTGCATGTGTAGGTAGAAAGGTATTGTATATACCTGCTCGTCGGAACAGAGTGTGTGTGTGGGGGGGGTGCTTTAGCCCCCAATATAATTTGCAAATATCTGTTTCTTAATTTGCCTGTTAAAGAGGAAAGACCCCACATCGAAACCTCTGCAGAATTAAGTTATAAGTAACTTGTATTCCATATGGATTGTCTTGTGTGCTTTTTGTTCCTTAGTTTAAGAAACCCGTTTTGCCATTTTGGATTGTCTTGTGTGCTTTTTGTTCCTTAGTTTAAGAAACCCGTTTTGCCATCTTGGATTGTCTTGTGTGCTTTTTGTTCCTTAGTTTAAGAAAACCCATTTTGCCATTCAACTAACTACAGACAGCCCCCCAGCCCCCCCCCCCCCCCCCAATGGATTTCGTTCCGAGGGGTATGATATATATATATATATATATATATATATATATACTAGCACATAGTGTAGTATTAGGTATCAAGGCCTTGGATATATGTAATATTGTATAGTAGTATAGTCCAAGACACTTGGTTCAGTCATATTTGACCAGATTTTCCTTTCATATTCTTTGATGTACAGCAGTGTTGCTATTTCAAAATATTTCTTGTGGGTCTTTTTTTAATGGGAAATTGAATTTTGTACATTTTAAGCTGGAGCTTGATTCATACAGCCCTCAATATTTTTGAAAATTTAATTGTTTTTAAATTGTTCAAAATATTATTGTAAATATTACAACGAAATAATCAATAGTAAGATTATATGAAAGAGATTAATTCACTAATTTATCATTGGTGTAATGTAATGGCTTCTTGTATTTACCAATCCGGACTCAGAATTGACAGTTCACATTTTAGGTCGTATTTACTGATCGGGACTCAGACTTGTCAGGGAAAAGAAGTTGACAGGTCGTGTTTAAGGTCATCTTTACTGATCCAGACTCAGACAGGACAGGGAATGAAGTTGATAGTTCGCATTTTAGGTGGTATTTACCGATCCGGATTCAGAATGGACAGGGAATGAAGTTGACAGTTCACGATTTAGGTCGTATTTACCGATCCAGATTCAGAATGGACAGGGAATGAAGTTGACAGTTCGCATGGACAGAGAAAGAAGTTGATAGTTAACATTTTAGGTCATATTTACCGATCTGGATGAAGTTGACAGTTTGCCTTTTAGGTGGTATTTACCGATCCGGATTCAGACGGGACAGGGAATGAAGTTGATAGTTCGCAATTTAGGTGGTATTTACCGATCCAGATTCAGAATGGACAGGGAATGAAGTTGGCATTTTGCATTTTAGGTTGTATTTACCGATCCGGACTCAAAATTGACAGTGGATGAAGTTTACAGTCGTATATATTTCTGTCTGTCAAATAAGAAATTTTAAACCATTTCAAGATGTTATTAAATCTGTAGAAATATTTGAAACTGGGAAATATTGACCAACAAGGAAGTGAGAATTGTGCATTCAGTGGAATCTGTGATTTTGGGTGTTGGGGAGGGGAATAACTGTTGGGCAGTTGTTATTTACCAATCAAAATATAATTGATCATCCAGTCTTTTACTACTGTCTATGTTATTGACCTATGACATTCCATGGTTAGTGATTTGATAGTCAAGATCATTCAGTAACTAAATGATGTAGAAAACATGCGGGTAAGAGTACATATTAAAGCAGCTGCAATGAACTGTTTGATTTAAACCCAGGTTGGGCAATCCTTGGTAAGTGCGTCATACGTTGCACGCTACAAAGTTCCACAAAAATTTAGCCAGGTTGCCCGTATATAATTATACTATATTTAACGAGAGAGAGAGAGAGAGAAATGGGGTTTAATGTCCACTTAACACAGACTAGGTCATTTCAGGACTAACATATGGCCCAATTTTAATTCAATGATTTGCTTGCGCGTAAACTGGGTAACCAGAGAAAACCCACGAGGTTGGACAGGTGATCCTACTCCTTGTCAAGTTCAACCGGGGAATTGAAAACACGCTGTTGACTCAGTGCCAGACCTTGTGATACAGCGCACACATGCTAACCATTGGGTCATCCAACCCCCACTAAAACTATATTTAACCTTAGTGTATGTGTGATATAAATAAATATATATCTATGTATGTATATAATGGCAAATCCATGGCTTTTTTATTTTCCTATATAATAAATGATATAAATTGATGTAGTTTGACACAAAATCTGGCAATATACCGCAAGATTCTTGGACCAGGAACTGGTTTATACACTTGGTAATTCTCTTGTTTTGTTTTTTTCGGTGGTGATGCTCTTCAAAAAATCTGAATTCACCACCAATTAGCATGCGTGTTCTTTGGACAACTACGCACTGATTTACGGACTTCATATGAACCAAGCATGAGGTCATTGCAACCATCTAGAAATCTTGTTTAGGTTAAGATTAACACCACCAAAATTCAAGCTTAAATTTTCAACAAACAGTAGCAATTAGGAACATACCATATGAACCGTGCATGCCCTCATTGCAATGGTACATTTTTAATTGCTACGGTTTGTTGAATGATTAGACGTGAATTTTGGTGGCGTTAATCTTAACCTAAACAAGATTCCTAGATGGTTGCAATGCGCAGTTGTCCAAAGAACAAGCATGCTAATTGAATGTCGAATTGGTGGTGAATTCAGCTTTTTTGAAGAGCATTGCCTTCGAAAAAAAACTCGAATTGGTGGTGAATTCAGCTTTTTTGAAGAGCATTGCCTCCGAAAAAAAACCGAGAGAATTTGCGAAGACGTAATGTTCTGTTCCTGGTTTATGGATTACGCTCGTATTGATTGGTCAGTTAAGATAGGCATCGATTTTGGGGGCATTATTCACGACCTAAATCAACTTCGACCAGTAGAAACTATCTATTCTGTATATTTTTTAAATGATGTATTTTTTGACACTATCGTCCACGTCTTCACATATTATCCGCAAATTCTAGTAAATTATTTTCGAACGGTTACATGTTTATTTTGATTATTAACAAGATGTAAATATTTCATTCTTTTATTGATTCTATGTAACTTGTTAATTATAAATAAAGTTGATTTTAGACATCTTTTTATGGGTCATATATTGTCCCCTATCTGAAAAAATATTGGACTATTAAAATGTCCGGGCGCCCAACTCCTTGAATGTATGTCATCAATGGAATGAATGAATGAATTAGGGTTTAATGTCCGACTGTTCTGCTTCTATACTGGGCTAATGGAGACGGGCATACACCAAACAATGTGCTATGAGGGAAATTTTGCTTGAGCAGCGGCACTATGGCCAACTATTAAATCGAATTCCAACTGCCAAGGGATTTTTTTTGTATATGCCAATGTATACACTGTCCCATCCGAATGACTAGATAAATGTCCTTTTCAGGCCCTCCGTATTGAACAAGCGACCTCCAGGCTAGCAAGGCAGCGTCTTACCCACCTCAATAATGGGCCAAGAACTGAGAAAAGTGAGACAGAAAGACATTGTAAATATGTCAAAATAGACGAAATACAATTTTTATTGAACTTTAGTAGGGCAGCTTGTAAAACAAAGTTAACAACGATAAATTTAAATTAAAATTTTTTTTTATTTAATACCAATTTTTGAATGGATGCATCCCTGAAATGGATGCCTGGGTCGTCATGTATGGACTATTTGTCAAACATTTTGAACAATAACAACTCTGCTTTTAATTGAGGTAGAATGTTGAAACTTGGTGTAGATGTTCACATGCTGAATGTCTTGACAAGCATCATCTGCTTAGGCTAAATAGAGATGTGTCTTTAGCAGTGGGAGGAAACCGAAGGACCCAGAGAAACCCACAAGGTTGGACAGGCGACCCTACAACCAGGGAATCGAAACCACACCAGTTGACTCAATGACAGACCTTATGATACAGTGTACACACGCTAACCGTTCGGCCGTTCCGCCCCGCCAGATGAGAGTGAAGAAATGGCGTGGTCTAACACAGTTTCTGTAGATCATAAATGAAATGAAATGAAATGGGGGTTTATCGTCCTACTGTTCTGCTCCTAACTTGGGCTAATGAAGACGGGCATACACCATACAGTGTGCTATGAGGGAAATTTTGCCCGGGCAGTGGCCCTATGGGCTACTCTTACATCGAATTCCAACTGCCAAGGGATCTTTTACGTGCCCGCCAATGTGTACACGGGACCTCGGTTTTTCCTCCCATCTGAACGACTAGACAGCTGTCCTTGTCAGGCCCTCCATCCTGCATCACTGACAAGGGGGAACCACCCCGGAAAATCTGAATGAACTTTCTGGCCAATGCAGGGATCGAACACCCGACCTCCAGGCTAGCGAGCCAGCATCTGCAGATCATTCTGTCAGAATTTTGATCCAAAGCTTGTATATGACAAGGGGTAGGGTTGCCTGTCCAACCTTGTGGAATTTCTCTGGGTCCTCCCACTGCTAAAGATCCCTACAAGCAAGCAACGGGTTACTCCAAAAATGACCCATTTATGTGCACGCCAATATACGTATTTTGGCATTTTGGAATTGGGCATGTGGACAGATTTTGTACACAATATAAATTTCAAACCGAAGATAATTGCAAGAGTGATAGGGACATTTTGTGTCAAATCAGCTGAAATAAAGAGAGAGAGAGAGAAATGGTCATTTCGGGACTAACATATGGTTTTTAATCTTAATAATAATTCGCTTGTGCGTAGGGGTCTTTAGCAGTGGGTGGAAACCGGAGAAAACCCACGAGGTTTGACAGGCGACCCGACTTCTTGTCCTTGTACAACCGGGGATTCGAAACCACGCCAGTTTACTCAATGACAGGTCTTATGATACAGCACGCATGTGCTAACCATTCGACCATCCAACCCCCCCTAACCTCAAATAAAAATTTAAAACAATTATATCAACATAGGCAATCTCTTGGCTTGGATTAAATCAGATTTCAATAGATGCCCATCAAATGCTAACACACATATAGATAGAAATGGGGTTTAACATCCACTTGACTCAAACTAGGTCATTTCGGGACTAACCATATCATTCAATTTTATTTTGTTAACAGCTTGAACGTCTTGATCAGTGGGAGGAAACAGGAAGACCCAGAGAAAACCCACGGGGTTGAACAGGTGACCCTACTCCTTGTCACTTACAAACAGGGAATTGAAACCACGCCACTTGACTCAATGACGGACCTTGTGGTCCTAAGCAATGTGTTACCCATTCGGCCACCCAACCCCCCTCCCACACATATAGGTGGCACTGGCTTGTTCATAATGTCTCTGCAGGGGACACCGAAATTTTCAATTAATCAAATCTTCATAAATACTGAACAGAACTGAACCCCTTTTGGGTCGATATTTCTTTTAAGTGATCTACAATATGGTAATTTGCAAAGGTTTCAGGAACATTTCTAGCGGGAAAGGAGGGTCTGGGGGAGAAAGATTTAACTCAAATCAATTAGAATGTGTGGACAAATGGTGGGAGAAAGAGAAAATCAAGACAAGGTGGAAATGAAACAAAAAGAAATGGGGTTTAACGTCCTACTCCGACTGAGCTAATGAAGACGGGTGTACGCCATACCGTGTGCTGTGAGTGAAATTTTGCCCGGACAGCGGCCTACTCTTATATATTAAATTCCAACTGCCAAGGGATCTTTTATATGCACGCCAATGTGTACACAGGACAGCTGTCCTTGTCAGGTCCTCCATCCTGCACCACTGACAAGGGGAAACCATGCCGGAAAATCCTGATGAACTTTCTAGGCCAACACCGGGATCGGACCCGTCACCTCCAGGCTAGCGAGCCAGCACCTAGGCTTCCCAAGACAAAGGTGGGTACACGTCTAAACTCACTGAATTTAAAACACGATCTTGTTTCTAAATATATTTATTCAGATAAGTAAAAGACTTTACATGAAATATGCTTTATTTACATCAACTTAAATATTATTTTATGAATAAAGACCAAATCTTAAAGATACAATTAAATAATTTGTAGTTTCAATACGCAAATCTATCAATATTCAATCAAATGGGGTTTAACATCCTACTTTTCTGCACCGACTAGGCTAATGAAGACAATTTATGGATATTAAAATAAGATAACACTGTTGGCCTCAGTATGATTTCAAGGTGGATAGCCAGATGCTTATATATTGATACTGTTGAAGGTGTTTAAATAAACCAAATAACAATATTAAAACCCCACAGACGGTTAGCCTCAGTATGATTTTAAGATATAGCCAGATGTTATTGGTAATATATTCATACTGCTCGATGTGTTTAAACAATATTAAAACACCCTAGCTAGACCGTTAGCCTCAGTATGATTTAAAGGTCCAGAGAGATATATTAATCAATATGTAACGTGTAACAGCAGTCAAGAGTCAGAAGTCGCAAGTCATCGTTTACATAATAATTTGTGAACAAAAATGTTGAAATTGGCTAAAAATATATATAAAAAGAAATTTTAGTTTGCTTTATTTGTCAAATCTTAACTTTCATCTAGCCTGTTATATCCTTAAAAAGTTATGTTTAGCCTATATCAACAATTTAAATGGTAAAATATTTGTGGCTTCTGACTCATTTTGCTATCACCAGTCACCTATTTGACATTGTTCGAGGACAAATTAAAATTCAATGTACTATCACACAGGTGCATGTCTATGAATAAATCATGTGACCCCTGACCTTATGTGTCAATGTTGATTGGCAAAGTGCCCAGTACCATTATTTCAAATAATGATATGCCCAACATCAAAGGATGAATGACCTCACATTTTCTGTAACTGTTTACTGATTTAAAATAATTCATTAGTATCTGAATTTAAGACATTAATAATACTAATATCTTTATCAATGAATAAATTTTACATATAAAATAAATTAGAACAGTAAATTCTACATTTTCAGGAAAATGTTCCAAAATCTAATTTTGGACAACAAACCAATAGTATGCATATAACTAACCAATCAGTGGCCATGGATTAAATAATGGACCAATCAGTGGCCATGGACTGAATAATTGACCAATCAGTGGCAATGGATTGAATAATTGACCAATCCTTGGCTGATGATTGAATCATTGGTGGGGGATTAATTAATTGACCAATCATCCTCAGAGGATAAAATCCAAAAATGTCTTTCTACATGCACCAGGGACAAAAACCAAAACACTATGTTCAGCACATTTTAGTTGGTTTAGTGTACACAGTAATGTCAAAATGTTAATCCATTCTCCAATATGCTAACCCTGTGATTAGTCGGTAGAATTCACTGGCTTAGCAATAATGACAAAATGAACAAATACTGGACATTTTATAAATTTGTGCTGGATATGTCATTAGTCATACGAAATAAAACAACTAAAAATAGATAAATCAGTGATGTATAAAAAAAACTGACAAAGCTGGAAGTTGTACCCAACATTATCTGTGACAGATGCCACATATCCAGGGTTGGATTTGTTGATCATGTGCTGAATATGAAGTATATGAGTGTTGGTTTTAGACAAGAGTTGTTTTCTATGTAGCCATGATAACATATAAATGAGATGAATATAAACAAATGATGATGATGATGACATGGTAAATGATGATGTGTTGTTTAAGATTTATAACAGGACTGTTTCATGGTGTGCATGTTCTTTAGATTAAGTCAGCAACTGAAATGAAACAAATAATTAAATTATTTCAAGAATTTTATAGTTTTAACACAATTAGCTGATTTCAAGCCGAGAGCTTGAGCCAGCTTTTAACTATGGATGGAATTGGGTTTCAAACTTGTCAAAACAATCCCTCGATCATTTGGGGTTTAACGTCCTACTATTCTGCTCCAGCTGGTCTAATGAAGATGGGCATACACCATACAGTGTGCTATGAGGGAAATTTTGCTGGCCTGCTCTTATTTCAAATTCCAACTGTCAAGGGTTCTTTTATATGCATGCCAATATGTACAAGCAACATCAGTTTTTCATCCCATCCGAATGACTATACATTGTCCCTTGCCAAGCCCTGTCTTACACCACTGTTAAGGGGGGAAACCATGCTGGACAATCCCGATGAGAGAGAGAGAGAGAGAAATGGGGTTTAACGTCCACTCGACACAAACTAGGTCATTTCGGGACTAACATATGGTTTAATTTTATTTCAATAATTTGCTTGCGCGTAGGGGTCTTTAGCAGTGGGAGGAAACCCACGAGGTTGGGCAGGCGACCCTACTCCTTGTCACGTACAATCGGCAATCCCGATGAATTTTCTTGGTCAATGCAGGGATTGAACACAGGACTGGTTACTAATGCTATGAGAATTGTTTTTGACTGAACAAAGTTTCTGACTACTCTTCTATGAATTCCTATTGTCATGGGTTCTTTCAAGTATGCAGTGCCATTCAAACTACTAAACCTTATCCTTGCAAGGAAATCACTTGCACTTAAAATTCATTGATGATACTTCTCAGCCAAAACCTGGGCCCTGTTTCACGAAATTGTAACTAAAGATAAAATCCAAATTTAAGTAGATACTTCAATTTGATTGGTTAAGCACTAAAATAAATCTAATATTGTCCAATCAAATTACTAAAATTTGGATTTTATCTTGTTAAAATTTCGTGAAACAGGCCCCTGGATTGAACCTGGAGTCGTGTAGTTATTGAGCCAATACCTACAGCACCGTGGGCTCAGGTTTTATTATCTTACCGTTCATTGGCATTTCATCAATCTGTGTAGAGTAGTACTGTTCAATATCTCTTAAAATACGAATATCGTCATTTTTAACAAAGTTGATGGCCACACCTTTTCGTCCAAAACGACCGGATCGACCAATTCTGAAATACAAAATTATCAAATCAAATGTGTATTCATGAAAACAATGTGATTATTATATTATATTACGCCCGGGACAACTGCCACTCACTATGTGTAGGGCGTAATATAACGCCTTGGAGGTATTTTCCCCAACCTATTCTTAGAACATAGTTCGTCACTTGGGGGAATCCCTTGGGAAGTCCCCCTCGATCGCAGCATGTGTAGGACGTTATATTACGCCCTGGACAACTGCCACTCACCGTGTTTAGGGCGTAATATAACGCCTTGGAGGTATTTTCCACAACCTATTCTTAAAACATAGTTCTTCGTCACTTCATCAAATTAATTACACAACAGGTTAAATCTGAGAAATTTCTTGAAGGGTTTATGAGATATACTATGGATATATCACCAGGAAAACAGTCAATATCAACATCCCAGCCGTTGAGTTATTCGATATTTGGGTTTTTTGATATAAATAAAAACCGTCAAAAATACCTGTCTTCAGAAAAATAACCAAAAACTGAAAATATGCAATAAAGCAAGAGCTAAATCTGCCTACTTTAGGCCTGAAATGTTATATAAATTACTAATTAGACATTAATTAACTTACCAAAACAATAATCAACTCTTAATGCCATCGGATGGCTCTGATATAAGTAGATTTAAATACGTTTTGTGGTCGATGTGGTTACCATAAAAATGGATAATCGAGACTTTGTTTATTATTATAACAATGGTAGTAATAACAATCGTAGCCAGGCTATAATTGTATCGTTAACATCTTGGGTCGTTTAATTAGACCGAAATTTTCAGCATATTCCGCCTTTTATTATCTATTATAGTGGAAACTGCCAGCTCTCTATCTAATCTTACCTAATGCTGCTTTAATTTCATTAGCTACAGGATATAAAATAAGGCTCAGTTCCCAAGGTTAAAATCATTAGATGATTTCAGTTACTATCTAGTGAAATAACATCATTGCCTTTGGTATTTTTTTTTATCCAGATATTCTACTTTCATTTTCTATAACGTATTCCTTACTTTCATTTTTTACAACTAAACGTATATATCATCTGTGACTGCACAATTCCCCACTTTCATTTTTTATAACTGAACGTATATATCATCTGTTACTGCACAATTCCCTACTTTCATTTTTTTATAACTAAACGTACATATCATCTGTGACAGCACAATTCCCTACTTTCAATTTTTATAATCAGTTACCAGTGACTATACAATTCTCTACTTTCATTTTTATAATTATATTTAAACAGGGTATAAACAAATCTCTTTTATTTTGTGTAATTTAATTTACATTTACCTGTGAATATACAATTCTCGATTATTAGGTAGATCATAGTTAATAACTAATGATACTTGTTGTACATCTATACCTCTTGCCCAGACATCAGTTGTAATAAGAACTCGACTGAAATAAATAAAACATATACATAAGATTAGTAATGATACTTGTTGTACATCTATACCTCTAGTCCATACATCTGTTGTAATAAGAACTCGACTGTAATAAATAAAACACACACAATAAGATTAAGGAGTAACAAGTATTTTGGGGTTAAAATTGTAAAGTTCCTATCTAGTCTCGGTTACCCAGAACCCCATCGTCTTCAACGTATGGACGGTCTGTGACAATTGTCAATATTTGACGAAAATTTCTATTGACTAAAGCGTAACTAAGGTTTTTTATGTGGTTGTTATCCAGTATCTTTGGCCAAGTCAAGTAAGAGTTGTCCCCTGCCACAATAAATCCCTTGCCAGGCCCTCTTGTCCTGCACTACTGACAAGAAAACCTGATGAACTTTCTCGGCCAACACCGGGGTCGAAAATCGGACCTCAAGGTTAGCGAGCCAATGTTTTACTCACTGAGTCACCATGACTCCTAACACAAAACAAAACAAATATATTACCTGTCACCAGATCTAAATTCTTTCATAATGGCTTCTCTTTCTTTCTGTGGCATATCACCATGCATAGATGATACCGTGAAATTAGCTTCTCTCATTTTCTCTGTTAACCAATCAACCTACAGTATATATTATTACACGTATCAACATAAAGTCCAATAGAAGAAATATAAAATATCCAGGAGAAAATTATGGTTTTTGAGAATACATTTTGAAAATAAGTGAAATGGCATTTAAAGATACATTATGGGAGATTTGATAAAGATCTGACAGTTCTCATTACAACAGTTAAAAAATAGATACTGTAAAGGGAATTTGCTGAAAATTTCAGTCAAATTGATCCACTATGAACCGAATTCCAAGTGATTTAATATTGGGACTAGCCTTGATCATCATTATTAAAGTCGGCATGATAAAAAAACATAGTCTTGATTATCCATTTTTTGATTTAATTATGAATGGAAGCCGAACAGCAAATCGGAACATAATCCAATAAACATCGCAGACTAGCAATGCCATTGAGAGTTGATTATGGCCTGGATAAGTTAATTAATGTCTAATTAATAATTTATAAAACATTTCAGGCCTAATGAAAGACCTGCAACTGGCAGATTTAGCTCTTGCATAATGTATGTTTAACATCTCATTTTTTTCTGCATCAAAGGGCTCAATGAGTATGGGCAAAAACCATGCAATGTGCTACGTTAAATTCTGTTTTTTTGTCCCATCCAAACAACTATGCTTTTCCTTGCCCACTTATCTCAATGACAGGCCTTAAGATGCGAAGCCTATCTGCTGGATCCCTCTTCCTCCTACTCGCCAAATAACATTATGAAAAGAGTTGAGGAATTCCAACTTCAGTTTTCTATATCAATATTTATATGAATCAGTTTGTAAGAATTACCTTTCTCTTTGTATTACAGAATATGACTGCCTGTGTAATAGTTAATGTATCGTATAAATCACACAATGTATCAAACTTCCATTCTTCACGTTCTACAGCCACAAAGAATTGTTTAATACCTTCTAACGTCAACTCATCACTGAAATATAAATCAAATAAAAATGAAATGTGGTTTAACGTCCTACTGTTCTGCTCCGGTTGAGTTAATGAAGATGGGCATATGCCATACAGTGTGCTATGAGGGAAATTTTTCCCTGACAGTTGCGCTATGGCCTACTCATATCGAATTCCAACTGCCAAGGGATCTTTTATGTGTATGTTAATTTGTACAAGGGACCTCGAGATTTTGGACCATCTGAATGACTATACAGCTGTCGTTGTCAAGCCCTCCTGTCCTGCACCACTGACAAGGGGAAACCACAGTAGAAAATCATGAGGAACTTTTTCAGCCATCAACAGGATCAAACCGTGGCTCCCCTCACCGAAATATATGGTCAGACATTTAATAATAATAAGCTAATTTACAATGACAGAAAAGAAATGGGGTTTAAGACCACTTAATACGATTAAGTCAATTTCTGGACAAACATATGCTAGTGTGTGAAGGACAGGAAATTATTGGACCTCAAAATGGCTGATTAAGTCAGGGTGAATTTTTCAATGTCATAGCAAAGCTGATATTTCGGGACTAATGTATGCTAGTATATGCAAGACAAGAAATAATTGGACAGCAAAAGTCTGCGTGGAAATTCAAATGTCATACTGATGCTGATAGTTGTGATCTCCTCAATTGTATTAAAATGGCAGAGAGACAAATGGGGTTTAATGTCCACTCGACACAAACTAGGTCATTTCAGGACAAACATGGTTTAATTTTATTTCAATAATTTGTTTGTGCGTAGGGGTCTTTAGCAGTGGGGGGGAATTGGAGGACCCTGAGAAAACGCACAACGTTGGACCCTACTCCTTCTCACGTACAACCAGGGATTCAAAACCCCACCAATTGACTCAATGACAGACTATATGATTACAGCAGGTACATGCTAATCATTCGGCTAACCAACCCCCTGTATGTGAATATAATAATTTGACAATGCCACTCTCCCTAAATAAGAAGAGGTAACTGTTGTTTTATTGTCATTCATCTCTCTGTATTAATGAAATAGGCTCAGTTCCCAAGGTTAAAATCATTAGATGATTTCAGTTACTATCTAGTGAAATAACATCATTGCCTTGATAACACATAATGGAGGGTTTACAAATCATGGCTTAAAACCCCAATCCGTGTTGATTATTCCCTCCTTTTAAAATGAATTATATTATAAATGTTTATAAAAAAGTTCATGTGTCTCTTGTAATGCTATCATCATTTGGATATGTTTAAAATGGTAGCCAATGGAATAAAACATTGATAGGTTACTAGATGAGAGATCAGAGTTATTGTTCTTGTTTTTTGTAAAGGAAAATGAAATGAAATGGGGTTTAACGTCCTACTCCGACTGGGCTAATGAAGACAGGCTATTAAGGGAAATTTTGCTCGGGCAGCGGCACTATGGCCTACTCATATATCGAATTCCAACTGCCAAGGGATCTTCTACGTGTATGCCCCCAAAAAACAATATTTATATGTCTGTGCGGGGAATTGGGAGGGTCCCTCCCAGTGCCGCCGAGTAATAATGTGTTGTGGAACATCCTAGAGTCCATCTGTAGCGTATCTGACCCACGGTATATGTTTGACACTGGTTAAGCATTATGATTATAATGTAGAAAACCGCATTGAAACCTGAGGGTGTGCAAAAAGTCAAAATCATAACAGAAAGCTCGTCATTGCGTCCTTCTTGCTTAACCCCTGACAAGGATTAAGACCAGTAATTATTTACCCCCAATTTCATGATACACTTTTTGATTATTATTTTTTGTTTAGATTGACAAACTGTGCAAATCCTTTTTTATCTATTTGTCGACAGACCAGGCTAGAAGGCATTTGTCCCCAAGTTGAGGCCTAATGTCCGCTTCCACCTTGGGTGATATCGCAGATAGGTTTTAAGACAATATTACAAAACCTTTATATACTGTTGTCTTCACCATAGTGCTTCAATATGCTTACAACAAGTAAATATTAACAAAATATCTGAATGATAAAATTGATGGCTGAATAAAAATCACAATAGGCTCAGTTCCCAAGGTTAAAATCATGAGATGGTTTCAGTTACTATCTAGTGAAATAACATCATTGCCTTTATAGAGAGAAATGAGGTTTAACGTCCACAACACAAACCAGGTCATTTTGGGACAAACTCTGTTCAACCTCCCAGGTGTTGCCTCTCTTTTTCAGGAGTTTCAAGAAATGAAATGAAATGGGGTTTTATGTGCTACTGTTCTGCTCCGTCTGGGATAATGAAGACGGCCAAATACCATACAGTGTGCCATGAGGGAAATTTTGCCAGGACAGCGGCACTATGGCCTACTCTTATATCGAATTTCAACTGTTAAGGGATTTTTTACGTGCACACCCATGGGTACACGGGACCTTGTTTTTTTTTATCCCATCCAAATGACTAGACAGCTGTCCTTGTCAGGTCCGCCGAAGGAGTTTCAAGAACAACAATATAATATAAAACCCACTGTGTTCTGTATATCTGAACACTCTTCACTGGATTTCAAATGCTCATCGTTCTTTTACGTTCATGACAACAAATACCCAGCACCTAGGTTTTTTGCCCTATCTGAACAACTAGATACAATCCTTTCCAGACAACAACAATATAACACTATAAGATAAATACTCACCGTTTAACTAATATTCTGATTGGATCGGTCATAAATTTACTTGTCATTTCCAATATTTCATGGGGTAATGTGGCAGATATTAATAGAACTTGTGTTGCTGGAGGTAAATATCGATATACATCATAAATCTGTTCTTTAAATCCTGAAACAAAACATTTTATTCTTATGGTAAGAGAGAGAGAGAGAGAGAGAGTTTAACCTCCACTCGACACAAACTAGGTCGTTTCGGGACTAACATGTGGTTCAATTTTATTTCAATATTTCGCTTGTGCATAGGGGTCTTTAGCAGTGGGAGGAAACCAGAGAAAACCCACAAGGTTGGACAGACCACAATACTCCTTGTCACGTACAACAAGAGAACTGAAACCACACCAGTTGACTCAATGACAGGCCTTATGATACAGCGCTCACATGCTAACCATACGGTCATCCAACCCCCCTATTCTTAAAGTAAAATAGGAATGCTGCAAAAATTTGGTCTGTCTCCACATACATATTTTGATATTTGTACAGTAGGCTCAGCAAATACAAAAAGTGATATCATTTATAATATCATCTATCTACTATCAAAACATCATAGCCTACAAACATTTTAACTTTTACACATACTAACATCGCTAACGAGAGAGAGAAATGGGGTTTAATGTCCACTCGACACAAACTAGTCATTAAGGGACGAACATATGGTTAAATTTTATTTCAATAATTCGCTTGAACATAGGGGTTTAGCAGTGGGAAGAAACCGGAGAACCCTGAGAAAAACCACAAGGTTGAACAAGCGACCCTACTTCTTGTCACGTACAACTGGAGAATTGAAACCATGCCAGCTGACTCGATAACAGATCTTATGATACAACGCGCATACGCTAGCCATTCGACCATCCAACATAGCATGTCGGTGATGAAATTTGAGGAATAGTTAATATTTTGCGAATTACAGTATTGTGAAAGTCGAATCCATAAAAGGAAGTATATTTGTGAAATTATGCTGTGACAAGTAAGGTAATGTCAATAAAGTAAGGTAATCCCCAAAATCAGCTAAGTGAATACAAAAACTCTACAAAATATATCAAATAAGGAAATAAATTGCATTTTAATTTTGAATTCCATAAAATATTATTAAGGTAGGCTCAGCAAAAAAAATATTCGATATCATTTAAAATATCATCTATCTACTATCAAAACATCACAGCCTACATACTTAACTTTGTTTTTTAAAGCATTATTGTAAACTAATGAAACCTATTTGATTAAGGAATGGAATAGATTTTACAGTACTTCAGTTTTACACACCATCATAGCAACCAGATACATTTTCTATGTTACACCACCATCCCGCATGTGTCAACCCCGATGAACGAAAAGCAGGACTTGTATACACAGGACCTTATTTTTCAACCCATCTGAACGACTAGATTCTGTCCTTGCCAGACTCAGTGCACTTCACCACTGTTGGCAATATCCACTTCGGAAAATAATACTAATCTATCCACAATTATATTTTTTTTTTTTTTATTAAAATCAAACATTTGTCTCATTGAAACGTGAGGATAACACTGAAAAGTTTCAGTGATGAAGCATTGGCAAGGTATGTTGCAACCAAGATTTTGTGATAATCTGTAACAGAGGTCACGACTGTTAAAATTGATAATTAACTCATATTTCTAGCATACTTTATTTTCTGGTTGCCATCTACACAATTGCCAAAATTCACTCTCGCCACCCATGTAAAATTTATACAGATTAACAACGACATCCAACCATCAATTCTTCAAACTAAAACTTTCAAGATATATTTGGTTATAAATAGGCTCAGTTCCCAAGGGTAAAATCATTAGATGATTTCAGTTACTATCTAGTGAAATAACATCATTGCCTTTGAATTAATAGACAAACAGGGGGTTAAACATCAACTTGACACAATCCAGTAGACGTGGTACAAGGGTTAATCAGCGAACTGGATGTACGAGATGTGTTGTTGACGTTTGGGAAAGTAGGACGAGGGGAAATGTGTAGGGAGTGAAGTGCTGTAAAGGGATAGTTAGATGTATTATGAATGGTTAGAGTGGCTGTGGTGTTACGGTGAAATACTATGCCGCCACCGTAACACCACAGCTTTATGATTTGTTAGACAGGAGTGATGTAATGGGTGTCAACAACTGGGTATGCTGGTACCGTCGCAACGTAGCCGTGAAATATATATTGTGGGGGGGAAGGGCGGAAACGGAAAAATATACAATGTTGACAGTATGTGCCAGGCATGAGGCTGCGCAGACCGAGCGGCAGCTCGATAGGGAGTGTGTGGGAGGGTCACCCTCATAAAAAAATTTTTTTTTAAATGTCAGTTTTCTGTAAGCAGTGAAAACACTATTTTGGCATTGTTTGCGGGGTTAAACCTAAAAATCACATTAATACACCTATTGCACGATATTGTGAAACTAGCTGACGAAGACAGCTCGGGCGGCGATTGTTCGACTCGGGGCTGCTCTGTCAGTATCTAACAAACGCATTTAGTTGGCGTACAACTTTTAAAAACCGAATGTCAGTATGGTATTTCTCACATAATTGGTTATCGCAAAAACAGAGTAAACTGAAAGCGAGTAATCTCGACTCAAACCTATAGTCTATAGCCTACTTACTACACTCGTCACTAGGCTTCCTATATTATTGTTTGTGGACGGTTTACTACTCAGTGATAAGCCTGCGCCGCAAAAAGAGGTCTCGCCTTTTATTATTAGTATAATAACTTCCTCATGTGCGGCAGGTTAGTTTGCTTCTAAAAACACTGTTTTCCGTTCCAAAAAATACAAAAGTAATTTTCTACCAGATGGCCATGGTTCTTTTCACCGAGACTAGATAATTTCTCTCGGTGTAAGGATATAGCTATGGATAAGTTCATACAAGGTCAATAAATCCGCGGTCACTTCGGGTCACACTGTTGAGAAAATAAACCGATGGGTTTGTTTAGTAGCAAATCGAGCGTGAATCAACTGAGTTTGTACTGAAAAATTTTTGAGTGATATGTATGAACTGTCTTCACACATTCGGTTTATAATTAGCGATACACAGGTACAGTGGCAAGTGTTGTACTTCACAGACTGTTTACCTCCGCACGAAATCCCCGATTTGGGTACTTGTTAAAAGAAAAAGAAATAGTACCTGTGCGCATGCCAGTAAAAAAAAAACTAAGAGTTCGCGCATAAAAATGCCCGAACGTACCAGGCGCCAGGTCATCTAGGTTATTTTGAGACTAACATATGGTTCAATTTTATTTCAATATTTCGCTTGGGAGGTTGGAGAGAGAGATGTTTAACATCCTGTCAACACAAACTAGGTCATTTCGGGACTAACATATAGTTTATTCAAGCATTCGCCTGCGCGTAGGGGTCTTTAGCAGTGTGAAGAAACCAGAGTAAGCAGACGAGGTAGGACAAGCGACCCTACTCCTTGTCACGTACAACTGGGGAATCAAACCTACGCCAGTTGACTCCTTATGATACAACGCAAACGAGCTAACCATTCCGCCATATTGATAAATATGAAATATGGTTTACCTTTATTTAACATTTCATCAGCTTCATCGAGAACAAGCATCTTGATTGACCGTGTTCTTAAATTTCTTCTTTTAATCATATCTATATGAAAATAATAATTCTTGTTTACATGATTTAATATCCAAACAGTTTCATTATCCATAGGGGGTACTCCATTGTCAGTCCGGAACATCCTGAATTGACAATTTGCAATCAAGTGATACGGAATTCAGTCCTGTCACAGTTCTGCCAGTCCTGACAGCTGGGGTGGTGCGAGTAGAATCGTGACGTATTTTAAGTAACAAATATGTTTCAGCTGTTATGATTGGTTGAGGTACTTTTTATGCAGTCGGCATATGTCTTGTACTTCAAAATTCCCCTTTTCACTCAATTGACACTATTTTTGGAATTGAGAGGATATAATTCTGAAACGTTCAATCGAGTATCACCCTTGTTATGTCCTCGGGTGAGTAATTTTCTGCAATCAGCTTAATTTCTATTTATTCTTCTTACAAATTACATTCGCCAGGGAATTTTTACCCCTTATATTGGACCAAATAGACATATTTTTAAATTCTTAATCATCAAAAGACACAACTTCTATAATATTTTGATGTGCGTACCAAGTTTTATAACGATATATTGAATGATTTATCTGATATGCTCTGGAACAAAAACCTGGGATGGAAGTAGCTGATCTTAATATCCACCATTGTTTATTGATTTAGTGAAATGAAATAGGGTTTAACATTCTACTGTTCTGCTCTGACTGGGCTAATAAAGACGGGCATACGCCATACAGTTAGGGTGACCCACCATAAATAAATATCTCCATATATCTCAACAATTTCGCCACAATATTTATATATATGCCAAGCCTCAAATCAGTTTCACACAATTATAGTCACTAAATAAACGATCATGTTGTACTTAATAAGCTATGACCATTAATCATCTATAAATAATAGACTGAAAACTGGTTCCATGTGTCGTCCATAACATCCAGACACTCTTGAGTAAAAGATAGGTTACGTGCCCTTGTTTTGAAATTAGTCTCGCTTAACCAGTCTATCGACCATTCTAGGGCTGATTGACAGGTCGGGATAATCAAGACTACTTTTTTACGAAATATAACAGAAAGCTAGAAAAAGAAATTGAATTTAGAAATGAGCACATTAGCTAGCTAAACAATTGTTTTAAGAAGCTTGTAAAAGTAAAATGAAACTACTGCTAGTATTTTGTTCCTGTCTAACCCGAGTGCTTCAGAGATATTATTTGTACTAAACCAAAAGATGCCGCTCTTAACGGTACAGTTAATGATAAAGCGATTTAAAAAATGAAACGAACGTAATTTCTAAATCTGCTGTATTAACCAAGAAGCTTAATTTTACTGCTATTCAAAATCGTCAACAATAAATTTTTTACGGCTGTAATAGTTGATAGATTTGTAGAGAATTGCACGTGCCATGGCTATTTATAGTATCATACTGCCAGAAAGTTGGACTCGACATGGCGAATGTGCACGCTTCAGTGGTAGTCTCGAACTATCAGCAGTTGACTGTATTTCTGTAGGTGCATGGGTCACCCTAATACAGTGCACTATGAGGGATTTTTAACCCGAGCAGCAGCACTATGGCCTACTCTTATATTGATTTTCAACTACCAAGCGATCTTTTACGTGCACACCAATGTGTACACGGGACCCCAGGTTTTCATCCCATCCGAACGACTAGACAGCTGTCCTTGTCAGGCCCTTCATCCTGCACCACTGACATGGGGAAACTACGCCAGAAAACCCTGATAAACTTTCTCAGCTAATGGTTATTTAGTTTGTATGTCACAGGATAATAATACATACCGAAAACTCTGCCTGGTGTTCCAGCAACCACATGTTGACCGTAATCTAATTTTCTGATATCTTCGCCCACATTAGTACCACCAATACAAGCATGACATTGGATATTCATATAATCACCTAATGCCAATATAACCTAAACACATTCATATCTTTTAACTTTTATACAAACATTATTTTATTGAATTCTACGATTGGGAAACAGACAAAGCCTATGTATGTAATCCCTTTAAATCAAACAATCAAACTGTCCTTCTAAGGCCAATATGATTTTCCTTCTATGGTTCCATTTGCAATATGCCAATGTTAATCGGGTGGATATCAGCTTTCCCTCTAGCTTGAACAACTAAGGAACAAATTTCGTTAGCCTAGCACCCTTAATTGAGAACCACAGCTTTAAAAACATTGAACCGTGTCAGCAGAGAGAAATGGGGTTTAAAGTCTTGACACAAACAAGGTCATTTTGAGACTAACATATGGTTCATTTTTATTTCAATAATTCGCTAGCGCGTAGGGGTCTTTAGCAGTGGGAGAAAACCAGAGAACCCGGAGAAAACCCACGAGGTTGGACAGACGCCCCAAATCCTTGTCGCGTACAACCAGGGAATCGAAACCATGCCAGTTGACTCAATAACAGACCTTATGATACAGCGCAAACAAGCTAACCATTCGGCCATCCAAACCCCCGAACCATGTCAGGATTTAAATCCAGGAAAGTCTAGTCGTGAGGAAAATATCAGTAAAAGCCTGTTTACCTTTTGAATCTGTGTTGCAAGTTCTCGAGTGGGTGCTAAACATAAGGCCTGTGTTTCACGAAGTTGTGTTTCAATCGTCTGAAGAATGCTAATAGAAAATGTTGCTGTTTTACCAGTTCCAGATTGGGCTCTGTAAAATAAAATCAAGGAAATTATTCAAATGCAATAATTATTGAAAAAAAAAAAAAAAAAACAATAAAAGAGAGAGAGAGAGAGCAATAGGGTTTTAAAGTCCACAAAATTTCATTAGCATAATCATATCCTGTTAGGTCCAAAATAACATGCCGGTAAAATTTAAAACGTTTTATTAAACATACATTATGCAAGAGCTAAATCTGTCTATTGCAGGTCTTTCTTTAGGCCTCAAATATTACCTAAATTATTAATTAGACATTAATTAATTTATCCAGACCAACTCTCGATGTCATCGCTAGCATGCAATATTTATTGGATTAGGATCTCTGATTTGCTGCTCAACTTTCATTCATGGATAATCAAGACTATGTTTTTTATCATATCGACTTTAGATGAAACGAAATTTAGGTAAGCCTGGGGCGAAAAAATTGGGATTTTTGAAAGAATTTGATTGTAAATTATTGTAATTTAGCTAGGCAAAGCAATAAATCACTGAAGATCCTCAACTTTTCAAAGATTTCATTTTTTTTCTCCCAGGCTTACCTAAATTTTGTTTCATCTTATATGGGCGAGTTCTTAAATTTGTGCGTTACCCTTTCAATGATGTCCGCCAAGTCGGTTAGAAGACAGAGACATATTTTTTAACAGCGTGTTGTGTCGCTCATACTGACTCTAGCGAGGTAGCAAGGTCTTATTTTCTCACTAAGATGTTCATTTATATTTTTCAGGCGTTCACATGGACTGACACACGACCATTTAGCAGTAAAAAGTTGCCCAGTAAAACTGACTGGAAAACCAAATCTTGCCGACAAGGATTCAGTAGAAGAGTCCCTGAACGTAGAGGCCGAGTGTAATGAGACCTACGTTCAGAGCTGAACTAAGATGTCGTCAGATTGAATCCAAAAAGTCGTCAGACTGAGTCCGAACTGCTGTTTGTCTGACGTCCAAAAGGTTGTGGGGTTTCCAGTCCACTCGACACAAACTAGGTCATTTCGGGACTAACACATGGTTTAATTTTATTTCAATAATTAGCTTGCTTGTAGGGGTCTTTAGCAGTGGGAGGAAACCGAAGTACCGGGAGATAACCCAGGAGATGGACAGGCGACCCTACTCCTCGTCAAGTACAACCGGGGAATCGATACCACGCCAGCTGACTCAATGACAGGCCTTATGATACAGTGTGCACGTGCTAACCACTCGGCCATCCAACCACCCCTCAATACTTATGGTCTAATAAAAGTACTTACTGGGCAATAACATCTCTACCCTTTGTGATTGGTTTCACTGCTCTTTGTTGGATAGCTGATGGTTTTTCAAATCCTACAAAAAAAAATTTTCATATACGATTAAAATTAGCTTTGTTAATAAAATTTTTTTGCAAATAAAAACGGACAGATCGGGAATGGGCAGGGGGATGGGGTTGACCAAACAGATCCCCTGTCGTGAAACCCCTTGCTAGGGGTTTCAGGTCAAATCTTTCCACATCCAATATTGATGTACTGAACCATTTTTTTTTTACGATAAAATTACATTCCTAAATTTGGAGGAATATTGGCTGAGTGCAGCTATGAACCTGTCTGCGCAAGTGCAAGTTTCACAATGGCTGACTAACTCAAACAAATCTTTCTTGTGTTTTTGTATCGAACAATTCTATATAAAAATAGCGTTATTATAAATTTGTGTCCGATGTGGCAAGAAATGATTCCTCTTATCGATCAAAGAAGAATTCTGGTGAAAAATAGACGGAAAGGATTCTAAAATAATCTTAGAACCCAAGTAGGGGAAAAGTCATATTTTCATATTACATGTAGTTGTCAATAGCATCGGATAGTAACGGATAGAGAGAGCTGACCCGATAAGATAAAGATCCGTTACTAAAGTAACTACTGTATGAGTCTTGGTAAATTTTAAACGGATTTCTTCGATTATGAACAAACTACTTAACTTTGGTTATTATAAACTTACCTGTGTGTTTGTAATCAACTCCCGTTCGATAAAATCCATTGCACAACTAATTATCACAACGATGAAAACAAGTTCTCTCTTGAAAAATTGAAATATCACAAACTTTTCCCAGAGAAATCATTTCGTATTAGGGGTGACAGCATAGGAAATTCAAGTACAATTACGACAAGAATCCATGACCACTCGGACCAAAGACCACTCGGTTCAAGACCAGTCGGACCAACTGATAGACCACTCAGCCCAAACAAATAGACTATTCGGACCATACAAAAAGACTATTCGGACCCAACAGAAAGACGATTCGGACCAATAATAAAGTGTTGTTTTAATAAATTGATAATTGCGTTTGTTTTAATATGATTACTCGAACCAATAATAAAGTGTTATTTTAATAAATTGATAATTGTGTTTATTTTAATATGACTACTCGAACCAATAATAAAGTGTTATTTGAATAAATTGCTAATTGTGTGTGTTTTAATATGACTACTCGAACTAATAATAACGTGTTGTTTGAATAAATTGATAATTGTATCCCAAATCGCAAAATATCGAGAACCACACTTGTACTCACGTTTAAAAAGGGGCATATAAACGTCCGGTCTTCGTATTATTATGTGCTGTATATATTAACGCATCAAGGGCGGATAACTTGAAAACGTGTCTCCCCCCATATATATAAACCCAGGGGTTAGTGGGGTAGAACGGAATGAAACCACTGGGGATGCCGCGAATGTGGAAAAAGTAAAATTAGGCTATCAGATAAGAACAGTATACCCGTATATGTAGAAACTGTCAAAAGTCTGGACATACCGAGTCTCATTGCAAGAGTAAATAAGAACAAGAGCATCGCTAACGCAGCAATATACGTCCACATTCCTGTTTTGTTTGATATGGTCCAGTTTGCATTGAGGGTCTGTGAAATAAAACTGGGTTGTAGGACTGCTATCAGTTTAACACTTCGTTCACATTAACAGAACACAATTTTTATTTTAAAACAATCGATGTCTTTATTCTAAAAGCATGACGTTTCGAATAGGTATGCAAAGTTTCAAAAGGATCTGTTAAGAATTGCGGTCTGTAGGCAAAACACAGGACACACAAACGTTAGGCGTGGCTCTGTCCCAAGGGGTCGAGCATGCACCAAAAATAATAATAGAGGTCGGCCTTAGGATTAAGGAATAAGTATAAAAAGTAGCCTTAGGCTATAAGGAATAAGTATAAAAAAGTTTTCAAGATGATCGATTAAGAAATGCGGTCTGCAAGTGACACACAGACATAAAAAAAGAAAATGGGCGTAGCTCTGCCCCTGGGTGTTGGGTATTCACCACTAATAATAGGGATGTTCCTTAGGATAGAAGGAATATGTATGCTAGGTTTCAAGGTGATACGATAAGAAATGCGATCTGTAGATGACAAACAAATAAATAAATATAAGGGATGGGCGTGGCTCTGCCCCTGGCGGTCGGGCATGCACCAAAAACAATAGGGATCATCGTTAGGGTATAAGCAATTCATATGAAATTTTTTCAAGACGATTGATTAAGAATTGTGGCCTGTAGGTGACACACAGACATAAAAAGAAAAGAAAATGGGCGTGGCTCTGCCCCTGGGGGTAAAAAAACAATAGGGATGATCGTTAGGGTATAAGCAATTCATATGAAAAAATTTCAAGACGATTGATTAAGAATTGTGGCCTGTAGGCGACACACAGACATAAAAAAGAAAATGGGCGTGGCTTTGCCCCTGGGGGTTGGGCATGCACCCAAAACGATAGGGATGTTCCTTAGGGTACAAAGAATAAGTATGCAAAGTTTCAAGATGATACGTTAAGAAATGTGGCCTGTAGACGACAAACAAACAAATACAAAAAATGGGCGTGGCTCTGCCCCGGGGAGGCTTGCATGCACCAAAAACAATAGGGATCATCCTTAGGGTATAAGGAATAAGTATGTAAAGTTGATACGTTAAGAAATGCGGTCTGTAGATGACAAACAAATAAATAAATATAAGGAATGGGCGTGGTTCTGCCTCTGGGGGTCGGGCATGCACCAAAAACAATAGGGATCATACTTAGGGTATAAGCAATTCATATGAAAATTTTTCAAGACGATTGATTAAGAATTGTGGCCTATAGGCGACACACAGACATAAAAAGAAAAGAAAATGGACGTGGGTCTGCCCCTGGGGTCGGGCATGCACCCCAAACGATAGGGATGTTCCTTGGGGTACAAAGAATAAGTATACATAGTTTCAAGATGATACGTTAAGAAATGCGGTCTGTAGATGACAAACAAATAAATAAATATAAGGAATTGGCGTGGCTCTGCCCCTGGGGGTCGGGCATGCACCAAAAACAATAGGGATCTTCCTTGGGGTATAAGGAATAAGTATACCAAGTTTGAAGAAAATCCAGTAAGAATTGCGCCCTGTAGGCGACACAAAGACACACGAAAAGAAAATGGGCGTGGCTCTGCCCCTGGGGGTTGGGCATGCACCCCAAACGATAGGGATGTTCCTTAGGGTACAAAGAATGTGTATGCAAAGTTTCAAGATTATTAGTTAAGAAATGTGGCCTGTAGACGACAAACAAACAAATACTAGAAATGGGCGTGGCTCTGCCCCGGGGGGTCGGGCATGCACCAAAAACAATAGGGATCTTCCTTGGGGTATAAGGAATAAGTATACCAAGTTTGAAGAAAATCCATGAAGAATTGCGCCCTGTAGGTGAACCACAGACACACACACACACACACACACACACATACATACATACACACACACACACACACACACAGACAGGGGCGACGGCATAATACGTTCACATTATGAATGTGGACGTATAAAAATTAGATTGATATTTTTTTTGGCACCATTATTAATTAATTTTAAAACTAATCGTTGATTTATTTTCCGTACACAAAATTGATAAACAACTCTAAATATAAGAATTCCGTATAAGAATTATTTGCTTCTTTGTATTGTGATTTAATAATAAATAAATAGCATATTGTCTAGCCTTATAATATAATTTAATTGGTCTGACTGGTCTTGTTTTGGTCCGACTGGTCTTAGTCCGAGTAGTCTTTGGTCCGAGTGGTCTGGATACCTACGACAATTGGCATTGAGTTTGAGCGTTCGCACATATAACTACCCGCATTCCTGTATTTAGTTACCGTCTTTTACATTCTAGTAAAATCTCTGCAAATTTTATAGCTTTACTTTTTGAAATATTTTGTTCTAATTATTTGATTAGCGACTCGGATGGGATAATTTACTTTTGAACACGCATGCCGCACAAACACAACTATACATTCGTTTTACGGGCTTTATCACACTTCGGTCAAAACTGTCGAATCGAGAATTAATGTTCCGCTTCTTACAGGGTCATACGGGCTTAGTAGCATTATATACCCACCCGGGCACCCAATAGACACGCTGAGGTCTGCCGCAACACGCTTAAAGATGTTACTGAAGTGGTTATTATTCGATCGAAAGAATGCGTATAAAATTAAAAATACACTCAGAGAATTCGGAGGTAAGCTTCGTGATCCTAATCCTTGTTAAATTATTTATAACATAAAGAAGATAGGATATTTATAGTTTATATATGACTTTATTTTTACGAGTATCCGTGCAATCAGTGATATTTTAATTGTGAAGAAAATTTGATAGACTGGCGATCAATGGTTTCCATATAAATCTCCTTTGTAATTGCCTTCAATTGATATTTTTCGTCGCCCAAACCCATATACGATCAAAAGGATCGCGCTGTCAAACTATCTTTCAATGTTAACCAACCCCTGCAACAGGTATATTGGATTCGACCAATACGTCACGAAGACATTGTTGACATCGACTCTGTCGAAATTACAAGTAAATTTTCAAATTTTTCAAGAGAGAACTTGTTTTCATCGTTGTGATAATTAGTTGTGCAATGGATTTTATCGAACGGGAGTTGATTACAAACACACAGGTAAGTTTATAATAACCAAAGTTAAGTAGTTTGTTCATAATCGAAGAAATCCGTTTAAAATTTACGATGGTTCACACAGTAAATAGCGATGCCAAACGCCGCTAGAGGCGCTGGCTGTCCTATTATTGGTGTGCTAAAAAACCTGACCGAAAAATGTACCGGTTCTACTACGGGGTCTCATGAATATTCAGGAAGTCAAAACGTGGTCACATGGCACTTTTCCGGAACCTGGTGAGCTGAAGTTAGCGGACTGCCATAGCAGGTAAGATTTTGATCGAATTTTCGCTTATTTTTCTTGTTTTTAATTTTTAAATGTAATAGAAACTTTGAAAAAAAGAGCATTCCGCTCGAGATATCGACATTTTTGGATAGCCTGGTATATATTTTGTATAGTTTGAGCTTTTGTTTTGCCAAAATCCCCCGTAGGAATTGGCAATAAGACGGAAAGTAGAACCGGGGAAGAATCAGGGAAAGACAACTCTTGGTAGGTGCGTGTATGGGATCAGACCACAATGAATGATTTATTTTTTTTTAACCTAACTTTTGCAAACTTAAGTGTGAACTATTTAGATGTTTTTGCAAATTTAATAACATTACTTGTAAAAAAAAATGGACTTTTGAGAAAAATATATCCCCAAATATTGAAATAAGACTGACTTGGCATAGGCAAAATGAAAATGTGTATCTCATTTATTTTAAAGCTTATATTTACTATGGAAGAAGAGTATTCACAACCATTATTCATAACAGATTCTGAGGAGAGTGAAAAAGAAATTGGAGAAAGTGAATCTCAAGTAAGGCATTTCAATCTGTACTTTAGGACAATTATTATACTATGTTTATTTGATGCAGCACTCTTTTATTATAACTTTAAAAAACATAATCGGAAGAGGCCAGGGATTATATTGCTCTGTACCAAATCAATTTTATTTTCCAGGCACAGACGCAAGCTCCAAGATTCATGCCACTTTTCACTCCACGCTTTAGTTCTGAGAATACAGCATTGATATTTTTTATCACTGTATGCAATTTTTTACTCATTGTTGTACATCTTTTTTTTTAAAATTTTATAACCAGAGATATTTGTTATTTATAGAGAAGGGGTGATTCTTTCTTTAATAATGTCATAACATTCGATTACTTATACATGTAACTTTTTGTATTTGCATATGACTTTGATGACGTCCAGTCATGCCAAAAAAGAAATTATTTTGTCATGTGTAATCCCTGTGATTATATCATATATTGTTAATTTTTTTAAGTTTTATATTTTTGGTTTTGTAGTTGGTAGTTTTCATATGATTGATGTTGATCATGATACACAGTTTTGTTTTCTGTTATTTTTAGATTTAGGTCATAAGTTTTCACCCAGAAAAATTCTGTTATTTATTTATTTTTGTTGATTTTAAGTTTTATTGATTTTGTTAATTGAAATAAAGATATTTTTATTGATCATAATACTTGTGATTTTCCATTCCTGAAACAACTATTTTTGTCTGTGTGTTTTGCATGTGTATGTATCCAGGAAAAGACTGTGAATATTTGAATAGCCTCTAGACCTACAGGGGGGTTGGATGGCTGAATGGTTAGCGTGCGCGTGCTGTATCATAAAGTCTGTCATTGAGTCGACTGGCGTGGTTTCGAATCCCCAGTTGTATGTGACAAGGAGTAGGGTCGCCTGTCCAACCTCGTGGGTTTTCTCCGGGTCCTCCGGTTTCCTCCCACTGCTAAAGACCCCTACGCGCAAGCGAATTATTGAAATAAAATTAAACCATATGTTAGTCCCGAAATGACCTATTTTGTGTTGAGTGGACGTTAAACCCCATTTCTCTCTCTCTCTCTCTCTAGACCTACAGTTGACCCGTGACCTTACACTTTCTGTATGACCTTGACATGGTATAGTCAAAAAATGCAATTCGAGTAGCTGTTGCCTAATAAAAAAACACGATAACAATGTGAAAACATTATTTGTGTATCTATCACATCAAAAAACGGGTTGGGTAAATATTTCAAAGCCCTGGGACTTCTACATGGTTTGTTATTAACTATCACGTCATTTTTTTGCTGTGACCTTGAACGAAAATTGTCTCGGTCGTAAGTTTGAGAGTCTGTAGCACACACACTATATAACCGAAGAGTCTCCCGATAATTTGATTCAATCCAGTACATCTTGAACTTCAAATTCTGCAAGTTTCGTGGATCTACCTATTATAGTGTCTGAGATATTAGCTTCGGTCAGGTTTTTTACGTTTTTAAAAAAAAGCCGTATTTTGGTGCCTCCAATTCGCGGTCTTCAAAATGCCATAACTTTTTTAATTTTCAAGATTCTTTCAGATTATTGAATCTAAATAGTTGACGCTTGCAGTGCAATAATCACATTAGAGACATTTTGTGTATTTAAAAACCCTTTGGCAACGCTACAGTAAATAAAAAATAGGGTTTAGCTCGTTGTAGTGTTTTATTATAATATAATTATAGGTTCGCCAGTGCACCAAATACATCATGCCAAAATTTCAGAATCGCATCCGCGCATTTTGGAGGACTTGAGGTGTCAACTCAAAACGTAAACGTTTGAATAACGTTTCTCTTTATCGGTAATCGGACATGCCGTTTTTCTTTTCTCCGATTCTCTCCTCAGCAAACATCACACATCACCGAGATCGAAAGGAACTGGCCACTCACCATAACCATATATCCCTCGTAGCAACTCTTCGCGTAGTCCCATGTTGTCAAACGTGGGGGTGACGTCGACTTCTTCGCTTGTTTCAAACTCAACATTTTTGAGATCATCTTCCATAACACGCCGCGTCGCCATTTTTCTCGATTCCCGTTAAATGTAGACTTGAGAACAAGTCCTCCTGCAGAGGGGTCATAGGCAATAATCGACTTGCCAATGAAGACTATTATTTTTCTATCCCGCCATCTGCCGGTAACAGGTGCTATTTGGGAAGATAACTCTGTTAAATGGATTTGTCTCTCTTAGACTAGTCAAAGGATAATAAATTAATTACATGGCATATCATCAAATACTTCGAAGGCTCCTGTTTTCCGAAATGTGCTTTCTCTTCTGAAGAAGTGCCGTCATTTCTGAAAAAAAGCCCCCGAATTTCGAAAGGGTTACCTCAAATACTCATCATATTCCCATTGCCCGAATATTAGCACGGTGCAGAGGCGTGCTGGGGCCTCCGAAGAAGTGTCCCTTATGAAAAAGTCCTATAGAAAAAGTACAGGTTTCTATAGAAGTTTGTGGGATTCTATAGAATGCTATAGAATGCTGCAGGAAAACGAATTCATTCTGTATTTTTTTTCACATGACTATAGATTCAAAATCATGTACTATAGTTTTGTGTAGGATTGGTAGATGAATATTTTCCAAGTGTAATTCCCTATAGAATTCTATAGAATACTGTAAGAAATTATTGGAAAAAAATAAACCTACAGATTCATTGGTGCTGCTATAGTTTTCTATAGAACTAACTTGTATCCTCGAGTCAGTTGTGTAATCCTTCAGTTTTCTATAGCCTTTGTGCTAAAAACTATAGTTTAAGTTTTCTATAGAACTGTCAACTCACTTGTATTCTCATGTCAGCTGTGATTCCCATAGGCCTAGATTTGGTGGTAAAAACTGTAGTTTTCTATAGAACTAACTTATTGTCTCAAGTCAGTTGTATATTCCTATAGTTTTCTATGACATTCTGTAGAAAACTATGGGAAAAAAAACCCTTCGATAGATTTTGTGGAGAAAAAGATAATGCATGAGCCTTCTATAGTTTTCCGTATAATTTATATGTATACTGTACTTATATGACAATATTGGTGTAAGTCATTATAAAATATGTGATAGAGCTCGTTTAATAGATCACAAATATAATTTTAACACAGAGAACATTGCTACGGGAGATGTGTAACAAGCACGTGAAGAAACGGGAAGTGACCTCAAACATGACGAACACGAGTTGTCCTTCTATGTAACTGACTGAAGTAACGAGCGATAACCTACAAACGATCGAATTTCATTTCACTGATAATTCAGTTGAAGATAAAAAGTTGTTATATGAGACGACGAGAGGATATCTGACAATTCAAAAAAAGAATTGGCTGTTAGTAGATAAAAGATAACGAACAAATTAGAAAAAGTCCGTGCATTACCGTGTTTTTATTAAGAACAGAATGAATAAAAACGGGGGAATGCACGGGGAATGCAAAAGGTTGTATTCAATTTGATTACAATACAGATCTATATTTCGTTTCGTTTTTTTATACTTTTGATGGCCTACACTACATGAAGATCTGACCATAGAAATATAGAGTGTGTGTGAAATAGCTTTATTTAAGGTCCACTTCCACGGTCAATTCTTTTTATACGTCCACATTTATAACGTGAACGTGTATTGTCGTCGCCGCCATCAGTGTGCGTGTGTGTGTGTGTCTGTGGGTTGCCTACAGTGCGCAATTCAAAAAGAAAAATCATTGGTTTGACAAGGATTGCACTAGATTAGATTAAAGCATGACATTCTAAGACCCCTCAAATAAATTTCTACCAAAAATATATTCGGAACTTAGAAAACTATATCAAAAGACTATAAAATTAAAAAGTAAACAAGCCAAAACAGCAATATCATAAGATAAACTAAATGATCTACAAATGATCTACTCACGTGAGTATTGGAAATCAGTATTCACTTCTTGAAGATGACAGTAAAAATAAAGAAACTAATGATATTCCACTGAAAACATGGGAAAATCAGTTTTCAAAATTATTCCAACAAAAGACGTTTGAGAAAACTAGCAGTAGCAACGATATGAATATAAAATAAATTAAAAGAAAAAAAACCAATGGCCCTGACCTAATTTTTAAAGAAATGCTAATTACATCCAATGAATATATGATTGACCAGTTTCTTAAACTCTTTAATGTAATACTTAAGTCAGGTACATTCCCTCAATCATGAATCTTTTATAAAACCAACTTATAAAAAAGGAGACAAACTTGACACACAACTACTGGGGTATTGCCCTTTCGAGTTGCCTAATCAATGTTTTCTCTCAATAATAAATAAACGTGTAACTGATAAACAGCAGCAAGTATGAATAAATACGTAAAGCCCATTTATACACACCCTTCACAATAAATCCTGAGATTTTCTATAAAATTTATCTCTTTAACCCACCAAAATCGATTGCCAAGGCAGAGACTTTATATGTGTTTTGGCCTTTGATAAGAGATCTAAATCAAATTTGGTGGCAACTACATGTAACTGAAACCCTATTTGTATGCAAGTAGATATACATGTACTATACTGTTTGTATGGATGTATTACTTGTGTGTTCATGTATATGTTGTCTATGTAGTATGTATTATTAAATGCATATATACTCTTAAAAAAGGTAGGGGATATTCAGAAACAATACAAAACTGCGGAAATGCACTGCATTTTTTTTTTATAATATTAGAGGTAACCAGTGTATGTTAACAGGCCAATTGCCTACACATGAACAGTTCATATGGGCGGCTTATCTGGCGGCCCCATTTCACACGCAAAGAGATGCACTGTCAAAAGTGAAAATGGGACGTTTTGGATATTTTTGTCTTATTAATGAGTAATTGCTCCACCAATCCCCAGACATTCAGCAATTCGTCGTGGTATGTTCCTAACCAACCGTCCAATCACGATTTGGGGCAATCTGACCCACTCCTCTTGCAGTGCCAGGGCCAATTCTTGCAGCGTTGTCGGTTGACGTTGACGTCGACGAATACGTCTCCCGATCAAATTAAACGTAACACACTAAAGCAAAGATACGCTAAACAATAAATCTTATGCAAGAACCGATAGGAAAGCAAACATGGATAGGATAAACCAGCAAACCGCAGTTTTCATCAACCCTTCCCCGAAGTGTCAAATTTGACAACGAAGCCCTTCCACGTGTATTGCGCTATTGCGTGTCGCACATGCAGCTCAGTGGTCCTGTTGGGGCTTTAAGTTCTTTATCAAGTGTCCATGACTATTTATCATATCACAACCTGCATAGGTATTTTCATTTCAATATCCCCTACTTTTTTTTTGAGAATATGACATGCACACCGTCCTTGATAGACGATTATGCAATAAACACGTCTTCTTATCTATAAGGGGTAATAATACCACGTCACTGCATGATGCAACCGGGATACACCATACATCTGCAGCGAAAGTAGTCCAGGAAACAAAATGGCCTGTGGTTTACAAAATATTTGAAAACTTTTAGGTCCTATAACAAAGTTTTGATAAATTTTTTTCAGATTTCAAGTCTTGACGGTTGGAGTTTGATTATCTGAGCAACTGTTAGCCTGACCTAGGAATTTGCTTCATTATTTGGTAAATATTTTATTTCAAAGTCATTATTATGGATTTCCATCCATTTTTGTTATAGCCCACATTATCATGTGGACGTATTATAATTGCTGTTGGCCCTGTCCCTCCGGACGTCCGTTCACAATTTTTCTGTGGACACTCTACAGGTCACAAGTTTTTCGTGGACACTCTACAGGTCACAATTTTTATCCGATTTTGACGAAACTTGTAATATATAGAGAATCTCTAAGGAGTCCTTTTTGATATAAAAAATATCAACACAAGTCGATAAAGTAAAAAAAAAATGAGGCTCTGCCGAGTTTTTTTTTTTACTTTATCGAAGTGTTTTGATATTTTTTGATATCAAAAAAGACGAGTAGGAGATTTTATTTATCACCCAATCCTTTCTTACATGCAAAAATAAATAAATATAATTCTGTGCTATAGATTTCACTTTTACTGAACCCGATTACATTACGGCGTAGTGATACATCATTCTTTGACAGCAATTCATCCATTGCAAAGTCCTTTATGTTGACTCAGTGTTTCCATCAAGGTCAATTAAATAAAAATATTTCAGAAGTCCTGAAGAAACACCAAGCTCTACAAGAAGTAACTTTGGAACATATAATAAATAGTCAGAGAAAAACCTGTTCAACATACGAAGTAAAGATACTGAACAGAGCGTGTACTGAACATTCATTTATTTCCCGCCAAAAGGAATCATTTCTCGCTATATCTGACACAAAGTTATAATAATTCAACACCATTTTCAAGTAGAATTTAGCGATGAAATAAACATGCGACTTGCGCATGTTCGAGTCTCGCAACGGCTGCTCAGTTCAAACGTATTTTGTGTATGTTTTTAATCGCAGAATTCTACTTGAAAATAGTGTTGAATCATTAAAAATTTGTGTCAGCTGTGGCAAGAAATGATTCCTTTGGCGAATAAAGTACAATCAAGGTGAAAACTAGTAGTTAAGAATTCCAAAATAGCCTTAGAACAGAGGTGGGGAAGAGCAGTATTTTCATATTGCAGCTATAGAAGGCCGGATAGGAACTGTCAGTGGACATCGTCCGCTCAAAGACAGTTCCTAAAGGAACTAGGTCAGTCACTGAGTGTTATTATAGACAACATGTGAAGTAAACTGAACCTATATAATTATACATCAAGTCATAATTATTGCAAATGTTTTTTGAGATTGAACTAAAAGTGTGTGTTTTCAGTCATTTCCGAGGCGTTTAATTATGCAATATAACTGTGCTGTTCTCCTAGCGATTTTCGGTACCATTGACCCTGAAATTATAGGCAATATTTTGGGGTTGGGCCCTTTTTTAAGCTAGATTGATTGGACTATTTCGATATTGGAATGTATCGGACAATAACTTCATGAATTATGACCCTTGATTGTACGAAAAATCACTTTTTTTTTTAGCTTGTGGACACTCTAGAAGATGAAATTTGAAATGCATGTTTATGACTCAAAGATCTTGGTTCTTTTCGATATTCGCGTATATCGGATCGTAACTTCCTGAATTAT